GAGATCGCATTTCAGCTGTGCGTAATTGGCCGACTCCAACCACGGTTAAGGAGGTGCAGTGCTTTATTGGCTTCGCCAACTACTATCGGAGGTTTATCCGGGGCTTTGGCAAGGTCGCAGCTCCCATTACATTTCTGTTGAAGGGTGGGCCATCCCGGCTCCGCTGGTCTGCTGAAGCTGACAGGACCTTCAGTAACCTGAGGGGTCTGTTCACCTCAGCCCCGGTACTGGCCCACCCCGATCCATCACTACCGTTCGTAGTGGAGGTGGATGCGTCCGAGGTAGGGATAGGTGCTGTCCTATCTCAATGCTCGGGCACGCTACCACGCCCCTGTGCCTTCTTCTCTAAGATGCTCAGCCCGGCAGAGCAGAACTACGACGTTGGTGATCGGGAGCTGTTGGCTGTTGTCCGAGCCCTGACCGTGTGGAGGCATTGGCTCGAAGGTGCGAAACAGCCTTTCCTCATCTGGATGGACCACCGTAACCTGGAATACATCCGGGCAGCGAGGAGGCTGAATCCTTGCCAGGCCAGGTGGGCCCTATTCTTCACCCGGTTTGATTTCACACAATCATACATCCCGGGTACGAAGAACGTGAAGGCAGACGCATTGTCACAGCTGTATGACACATAGGAGAGGCCCAGAGACAACACCCCCATACTCCAGTCCTCCTGCATTGTGGCGCCGGTTGTATGGGCGATGGACGCGGATATAGAGCAGGCGTTACGCACAGAGCCATCTCCACTCAGTGTCCAGCTGGGCTGCAGTACGTGCCTGCTCTTATCCGTGACCGTCTGATCTACTGGACACACACATCACCCTCCTCTGGTCACCCAGGTATCGGTCATACAGTGCGCTGCCTGACCGGAAAGTACTGGTGGCCTACCTTGGCTAAGGACGTGAGGGTGTATGTCTCCTCCTGCTCGGTGTGCGCCCAAAATAAGGCACCTAGGCACCTCCCAGTGGGTAAATTACAACCTTTACCAGTTCCACAACGACCATGGTCTCACCTGAGTGTTGATTTCCTTACCGATCTTACCCTCTCCCAAGGTAACACCACCATCCTGGTCGTTGTGGACCGTTTTTCCAATGCCTGCCGCCTCCTTCCTCTGCACGGTCTCCCCACAGCCCTGTAAACTGCGGAGGCCCTGTTTACACGTCTTCTGGCACTACGTGGTACCAGAGGATATTGTGTCTGACCGGGGTCCCCAGTTCACATCCAAGGTCTGGAAGGCATTCATGGAACGTCTGGGGGTCTCGGTCAGCCTGACCTCTGGTTTCCACCCCGAGTCTAATGGGCAGGTGGAACGGGTAAATCAGGATGAGGGTAGGTTCCTGCGGTCCTACTGCCAGGACCGGCCGGGGGAGTGGTCAGTGTTCTTGCCATGGGCCGAATATGCCCAGAACTCTCTCTGTCACTCCTCCACTAACCTAACGCCATTCCAATGTGTTTTAGGTTACCAACCGGTTCTGGCACCGTGGCACCAGAGCCAGACCGACGCTCCTGCGGTGGATGACTGGTTTCAGCGCGTGGAGGAGACATGGGACGTTGCCCACGTCCACCTCCAACGCGCCGTGCGTTGTCAGAAGGCCAACGCTGACCGCCACCGCAGTGAGGCCCCAGTCGTACCGGGTGATCGGGTCTGGCTCTCAACCTGGAATCTGCCCCTCCGCCAGCCCTGCCGGAAGCTGAGCCCGCGGTTTGTGGGGCTGTTAAAAGTCCTGAGGAGAATCAACGAGGTTACCTATAGATTATTACTCCCCCATGATTACCGTATTAACCCCTCGTTTCATGTGTCTCTCCTCAGGCCGGTGGTGGCTGGTCCACTCTAGGAGTCTGAGGTGTGGGAGGTCCCTCCGCCTCCTCTGGACATCGAGGGGGCCCCGGCGTACTCCGTCCGTTCCATCCTGGATTCGAGGCCTCGGGTGGGGGGCCTTCAGTACCTCGTGGAGTGGGAGGGGTACATTCCGGAGGAACGGTGCTGGGTCCCGGTGAGGGATATCCTCGATCCCTCCCTGTTGCGGGATTTCCACCGTCTCCATCCGGCTCGCCCTGCTCCGCGTCCTCCTGGCCGTTCCAGTGGCCGGGGTCGGCGCGCTGCTGGAGCTGCTCGTCAAGGGGGGGGGGGGGGGGGTACTGTCACGACTTCCTCCGAAGCTGCCTCCCCTCTTTGTTGGGGTAGGCTTCGGCGTTCGTCGTCACCGGCCTTCTAGCCACTGCCGCTCCATATCTCATCATTCCATTTGTCTTGTCTTGTCAATTACACACACCTGGTTCATATTCCCCTCATTAGTACGTGTTTAAGTGTTCCCTCTGCCCCCTTCTCCTTGTGGGTGATTGTTCATTGTGAGGATTAGTAGCTTGGTTAAGCTCAGTATTTTGTATAGCCAGGGTATTTTCCCTGTGTGCATGTTTGTTCCAGTGCACCTGTTTTGCGCACTGGACTGGTTACGCTGGATTACAGAATAAACTCTGTATACTGTGATTTACCCTCCTGAGCCTGACTCCTTCAAATCACGCATCACACCTACATCTAAAGCCCACTTTGTTTTGGGGATTTTTCGGCAAGCCAATGGCTACTCAGCTCTATTGATGGAGAACCCTATCTATCGAGCTAAAGAACAGTCAGTACAGTTACTTATACTTTCTGGTTAAAGATGAAGAGAAGGCGTCAGAGCCCCAGACAGCAATCGGATACTTCCTCGTCCTGTTTCTACACCTGTGCTTGGTACATGCAGTCGGGGCACACTCTACCTCCATTTTACGGGAGTAAGCGATGGGATATTTTAGAGCCAAGACGGACCAAACACATACTGTAGCTGCTCTATTGCACAGGATTAGGATGTCCAGGTAACCAGTATGTTTCCTTCTGTCTTTTAGCTACACCGTCTGATGTCTTACGTCATTCCGTCGACTTCTCTCTTGCACATAGCCCCGCTCGGTGACACGGTATGGCCATACATGTCGCCACTCACAAGGGCGCAGTCCAAGAGGATTGAGCATGTTTTTCACACATTTTGAAGTACCCCAGTTACTGGGACAGACTCTCTGCCCCCTCTGCAGCTTTATTGCACCCTCAGGTGTGCATGACACATGGGCACAAGCGTATTCCAGCCTCTAGAGAGCCCACTTCTCGCATCTATCCAGACTGACTCCCAGACTGTTAGAGGCGACAACACTGTAAGGGTTTTTGGAGACTCCATCCCCAAGTGGTGATAACGCACCACTAGGGGTTAAAGTGCTAGCACACCCCTGGCAAGGATGATGCCTTACACTTTTTCCTACTCTATGCCTCATAGTCCCCACTCCAATAACCAGAGTGCGGGAACAGGGCTTATCCCTCATCTTCGAGCCCCTCGATGACCAGGGAAGCTCTGGTTGGCAGAGATCGCTCTCCTGCTTTACAACCAGCCCAGGCAGCTATCGTTATGCAGGGATCTTTTGACCCAAGTGAACGAGGAGATTTGCCACCCTCACCAAGAAACCATGGCCCTCTGGCCCTGGCCTGTGAGAAGATGAATCTGAATGTGACAGGCTTGCCACTCAAGGCCATTTAGTATCCAATGCCTGAGCCCCTTCTACACGCTCACTGTATGGAAAAACAAGTGCTGTGTTTTTGAGAAGTGGTGTGACCTAAAAAAGACAATTCCTTATCAATGCTCTGTATCCAAGATTTTACTAGGAGTGAGTGTTTGTGTGTGTGTTGAAGTGACAGTGTGTGTGAGTGTGTAGGGCCCTGTGAATTTGCATAGAGAGAGCAAATATTGAAATAAAAAGTCAATAAAGATACAAGGTAAACCCAGTCCGTGTAGCTATTTTGTTAGCTATTTATCACTAGTTTTGCTTGGGGATAGAAGCCATTCAAGAGCCTGTTGGTGTCAGACTTGATGCACTGGTACCTCTTGCCTTGCGGCAGCAGAGAAAATAGACTATGGCTTGGGTGGTTGGGGTCTTTGACGATTTTCAGGGCCTTTTTTTCACACCGCCTGATATAGAGGTCCTGGATGGCAGGGAGCTCGGCCCCAGTGATGTACTGGGCTGTCCGCACAGAGGACGGGTTAGTGCCGCCTTATAAAGAGGGAGGGGCTCACCTTTGACAAACATTGTGTGATTGGTTCTTCATAGTAGTGATCTGCCTCCAGCGAATCCCATTGTGAGACATCTCACTCATATTATCAGAGAACAGGGGTTATGAAAGAAACCTTGAGTTATGTGAATGTGACCAATACTAATGTGACTAACCTTATCTGACCAACCATCCCATCAGCTATCTTCCACATGCATGCTGACATACTGACCATGTTCCTTAAGGTGATGTTCCAAGAATAAATCTGTTATACCTTAATGCTACAGCTGTAGATCAGGGCAGGACTCAAAGGGAAACCAATGAAGGCAGTGGCCAAAAACAGCATCAAGATTAGCTCCCCAATTAGATGCTTTGTGTGAGAGCCATACATGAAGCCTGCCAGGTGCACATGGTCTATGCCTGTCACAGGGATTCAACAGTAAACTGATGCTTGTTTAATCAATTTGCAGCGATGTTACATTCTTCACCACCAGGAGGAATATGTGGTCTACATGAGTGATTGGAACTCTCCTGACCAGCTCAATTAATTATGTTACAACACGCAACAGGCTTGTGCTCTCTATGAACATGAACTTCCTCCTCTTTAGTGCCCTTTAACATACTTCTTTACAATACCAGGCATTATGTCTTACATGATACAACTATGAGTTCAAACATAATTTCTTTAAATGTAGCATAATCTACTGGACTCATTGTGTAAAATAACATCCGCAATGCTTCCCTGACCACTGGTCCACAGAACTAGCCTACACTTTCCAAGTTGATATTCCTTTAGATTGACAGTTTATCACGAACTAACTATTTATTTCTGGAGTCTAAACCTGCTTCTTATTTCTTCATTCAACCAGTCCAGCAGGTGACGCTGTTTTATATTGTATAGACAATAGACATGTTTTTATGTCACTTCTCTGTTGTTGCCGGAAGTGAACCGCGCTTGTCTGTGGAAGTGTGGCGTTTATTTAGTTAGACAATTTCCATGTGGTTCTGATTCAACAACTGTTTCAAAGCTAATCTGTAGCTAGTACTGTACTGTAAAAATGGGCAAAAAGGGTAAAAAAGACCAAAAGAAAGTGAAAGGAGCAGAGAAAACAGCAGCCAAAATGGATAAAAAGATTTCAAAGCGGTCTAAACGAGAAGAGGTAACGTTAGGCATGTCTGTCTCCCCTTTCAACTGTCAGCTACTAGCTAGCTAGCTCTAATTACAGTTTAAGACAAGAGACATAGCTATGTCTTTATAGCATAACATCTTATGGCATAAACTCGTCATCGTGTGTGTGTGTGTGTGTGTGTGTGTGTGTGTGTGTGTGTGCGCGCGTGCGTGCGTGCGTGCGAGTGTAAAAAATTCCTACTCAATCACATAAAGTTAATGTCATTGTCTGACAGACATTGTACAGAGTGAATAGTTTCAGCTGTTGTTCATTTAGGTGTTGTTTTCATTTGGCATTGGTACAGGAGGACCTGGCGGCACTGATAGCTGAGTTTCAGTCCCTGGATGCCAAGAAGACAACAGTTGTGGAGACCGCCTGCCCACCCCCCTCACCCAGGTGACCCACTACTCTGTCCTAGATGTTGATAGGTGTTGACCTAGCTTGTGTTCAATGGGCACAAAACGGGAGAAAATGTGTTGAAACCAGGGAGTTACTATGGCTGATCTTGTCCAATAAGAATTGTCTCATTTAGATTTGTTCCATTTCAAAACCCTTACTGTTTCGTGCCTACTGAACAGCTCACGTCAGAGCCAGGTGTCACAAGCATTTTTGTAACATCTGCTAAATATGTGTATGCGACCAAGAAAATGTGATTTGATTTGATAGAAGTGGTATCCTGTTTGTCTCATCACTCCTCAGGTTGAACGCCTCTCTGTCAGCACACCCCGACAAGGATGAGCTGATCTTGTTTGGAGGCGAGTTCTTCAACGGCAAAAAGGTACAATTCATATACCCTACATGACCAAAAGTATGTGGACACCTGCTCGTCGAACATCTCATTCCAAAATCATGGGCATTAATATGGAGTTAGTCCCCCCTTTGCTACTATAACAGCCTCCACTCTTCTGGGAAGGCTTTCCACTACATGTTGGAACATTGCTGCAGGGACGTGCTTCCATTCAGCCACAAGAGCATTAGTGAGGTCTGATGTTGGCCGATTAGGCCTGGCTCGCAGTCGGCGTTCCAATTCATCCCAAAGGTGTTCGATGGGGTTGAGGTCAGGGCTCTGTGCAGGCCAGTCAAGTTCTTCCACACCGATCTTGAAAAACTATTTCTGTATGGACCTCGCTTTGTGCACGGGGGCATTGTCATGCTGAAACAGGAAAGGGCCTTCCCTAAACTGTTGCCACAAAATTGGAAGCACAGAATCGTCTAGAATGTAATTGTATGCTGTAGCATTAAGATTTCCCTTCACTGGAACTAAGGGGCCTGAACCATGAAAAACAGCCATTATTACACCATTATTACTCCTCCACCAAACTTTACAGTTGGCACTTCATTGGGGCAGGTAGCGTTCTCCTGGCATCCACCAAACCCGAATCCACTAATTTGAAGGGGTGTCCACATACCTTTGTATATAGAGTGTACCTTGAACACCTTTATATTAATTTTTTGTATTTTACTAATCCTTATCGGCTTTGGATGAATAGGGTTTTTGATTGACAGTGGGTTTATTTTCTTCTTTTCAGACGTACCTCTACAACGACCTGTTCTTCTATAACATAAAGAAGAACACCTGGGTGAAGTCAGACATCCCCAACCCTCCTCCACGACGCTGTGCTCACCAGGTAACTATGTACCTCCTGTCAACCTCCAACCACCATCTCTACCCACATCCACTTTCAGGGATGCAAACATGTCACTTTTCGGCGATATTCTCAGTTTTGATCTCAAAATAGGTCATCCAGATGAAACGTGTAGATCCGTAAAGGAACGTGTGGGGCAGGTATGACGAAAGTGCGCAGACGCAGAGTGTATCACCCATTAAGCAATAAAAGAGAGCGCAAACAGATCTTATCCCTTTGCGATGACTACCTTCTCTCTCTAAATTAATGACTGAGTACAGAATGCATCCCTACCCTACTCGTCCTACAAATTGAATATCAAACGGAGTTCAGAGCGTGATGTCAGATATGTCATGTCAGAATGAGTGATTCATCCAATATCACGTGTGACCGATGTGAGCAGCCAGCTGCATCCCCTAACCAGCCATTAGCCTACTCAGCTGCTTCTTTCAGTCCGTTCTTTATGCGCATCTCCATCAGTATTTAAATCTTATTTTGCTGTGATGGCGAGCTGGGGTGTGCAGACAGTGATGGGGTTTCTGTTGTTACATATGTTTAATTATTGGAGCAGCTCCCAGGGTGAGCGAAGTGGATACGTATCTTTTCATTTCGCCTGTAAGAACAAGCAGGCCATTTATATAATTTTATAAACCATGTCGCGGGCCGTTTTAAACTACTCGCGGGCAGCGAGTTTTTGGTTTGTACTTCAAAGCTATATCTGAAGGGGTGGGGGAAACCCTGTGGTGTCACGATACTACTCTGTATTGTGATTGTTGGCCTGGTATCACATCGTTAGTAAAATCAGAATCCCCTTTATTCGCCAAGTACATTTAGACATAATCAGATTTTACTTAGTGGTATGGTGCTGCTAGTGATAGACAACATTTAGAGACAGAATACAGACAGCAGAGTTTAAACAAAGTTTACATACATTATATACAACTAGGTAGAGTGAGCATAGAGCTATATATGGTTGATATACAGTGGATGTAAAAATATACAGTATCAGTATGAATATATCTAAATGCAGAGAGACAACCCCAATCAGAAAATCTCCATCGATTTCTCGTGTGTTTCCGTGCTATAACAAAAAGGTCAACTTTTTGGGCCCTCACCAGTTTGCATCCCTGTACTTTACAGAGCTCACCAGATCCCCCACTTCCTTCTGCCAGGAGTCTACCTTTACTCTTTATCGTCACTTAGACAGCTCAGAATGGGGAACTTTTTCACACCTTTGTTCTACTTTTAGGGAACTCAAAAGTATGTCACACCTTTACTGACAATTATTGTATTTTTATTATTTTTCTCTGTTGTGGATTAGTGGTGCAGTGATTCCTCTCACTGCGGATCTCAACTTGCAGCCTGGCCATCGTTCTGTCATTCTCCCTTTTGGACACCAGGGGACAGACTTTGATACAACTATGAAGAGATTTGAGAGATTGCCAAGGTAGATGGTATCTATCTGATAACTCTCTCTCCCTCTAACTTTCTCCATCTCTCTCTCTCCATCTCGCTCTCTCGCTCTCTCTCCTTTCTCTGTCTCTCTCTCTTCTCTCTCTCTGCAGGCGGTGGTAGTTCCACAGGCAGGGGGGCAGCTGTGGGTGTTTGGGGGGGAGTTTGCGTCTCCTGACGGGGAGCAGTTCTACCACTATAAAGACCTCTGGGTTCTTCACCTCTCCACAAACACCTGGGAGCAGATCAAGTGAGGGAGCCATATTGCTATTGTAGTAATAGTGGGTGTAAAGTATGTTTGAGATGCTACTAGATGAACCTGGTTGTGTCAGTGTTTGTGAGTATAAGTGTTGTGTCTGTAACCCAGGGTTCCAGGTGCCCCCTCTGGTAGGAGTGGACATCGTATGGTCCTGAGTAAGAGGCAGTTGCTGTTGTTCGGAGGCTTCCACGAAAGTGCTAGGTAAGGAGAGATGATAGGAGGCGCTATTGTGTCAGTTAAGGAGAGGTGATAGGTGGAGTATTTGTAATTGTAGGAAATAAGAGGAAAGAAAAGAGTGATAACCTTGTGGCTTGCTTTATGGCTGTGGCCAAAATATCACAATATTAGATGTAGCCACTGCGTGAAATATGCAAAATAAACTAGATTAGTCTTCTGCTTGTTGATAGTGTACTTCTTCTCTTACAGGGATTTTATCTACTACAACGATGTGCACGCCTTCAGTCTGGACTCCTTCACCTGGAGTCGCCTCTCCCCCTCCGGCACCGGCCCCTCCCCTCGCTCTGCCTGCCAGATGACCTCTACCCCCGATAGCTCCGGGGTCATCATCTATGGAGGATACTCCAAAGTGGTGTGTGTGTTTGTGCATTTGTGTGTGTGTGCGTGCACTCAACAGGTTCTTGTTAATTTGATATGATATTGAGAGATATGCAGCAAGTCTTTGAATGACTCCATTACATTTTAATCAAAGTTGTGTTTTATTGTTCCCTTTTAGAAAGCTAAGAAAGATGTGGAAAAGGGAACCATCCACTCTGACATGTTTCTGCTCAAGAGAGATGGCAAAGAAGAACAAGGTACAGTGATGCTCAGGCTTATACTTACTATTGGCTACAGACTAGCCTGGACATATAAAACGCAGGACAGAGAAGCAATGTGATTTCTATTTACAGAACATTGTTCCTCATTTTGATTTTCTCCCTGTCAGAGAAGTGGTTGTGGTCCCGGGTGAGTCCCTCCGGCTCCAAGCCACCCGCCCGGTCGGGCTTCTCCCTGGCTGTGGGGCCCACGGGTCGGGCGCTGCTCTTCGGAGGGGTGTGTGACGAGGAGGAAGATGAGACTCTGGAGGGGGACTTCTACAACGACCTTTACCTGTATGACATCAACAAGCACCGCTGGTTCCCTGCTCAGCTCAAGGTAACTGCTGGAAACCTCCCTTTTGGCACATACAGTAAATAGTATGTTTACTTGGACAATTGTAAGCAACTGTGTTAATATTATTGTTGTTGCCCTGTTTTTCCCTCCCCTCGTCCAGGGCTGTAAGTCGGAGAAGAAGAAGCGTCGACGGGGGAAGAAGGGAGGGGAGCAAGGGGAGAGGTCAGAGGAGGGTCAGGCGGAGGAAGGGGCAGCAGCACAGGGACCTGTGGAGGTCATCAAGGAGATCGTCACTGAAGATGGAACGGTCATGACCATCAAGGAAATAATCCCCGGGACACAGGTGGAGGAAGAGAGCGAAGAAGAGGAGGAGGAAGATGAGGAAGGTGCCTCGGCCATCCTGGTGGAGCCCTGTGCTCGCTCCAGCGCCATGGCAACAGTGAAATATGGGAAGCTGTATTTATACGGGGGCATGTTTGAGGTGGGCGACCGCCAGTTCACCCTCAACGACCTGTACTGTCTAGACCTCCACAAGATGGACCAGTGGGAGGTGCTGGTCGAGATGGACCCCAGTAAGTAAGAGGGAAACTGGGCTTTTCTGTCTGTGTGTTTCTGTGGGATGGAGGTTGTGTTCCTGATCACAGTGACCCCTTCTCTCTGCAGAGACCCAAGAGTGGCTGGACGACTGGTCTGACTCAGAGGGGGATGAGGAGGGGGATGAGGAGGGGGATGAGGAGGAAGCTAAAGGAGGTGATGACGAAGAGGAGGAATCTGAAGAAGAAGGTGACGAACAAGGTAAATGACAAAAAATCCCTCTATTCTTTTCAGTGTTTGTTTCTAACCCTACTTTATTCTGCTCTTCATGTGTTCAATGGTTATGATTGGCTGAAAGCCGTGGTATATCAGACAATATAAACTGGGTGGTTCGAGCCCTGAATGCTGATTGGCTGAAAGCCGTGGTATATCAGACCGTATACCATGGGTATGACAAAACATTTACTTTTACTTTTCTAATTACATTTGTAACCAGTTTATTAAAGCAATAAGGCACCTCGGGGTTTATGGTATATGGCCAATATACCTCAGCTAAGGGCTGTATCCAGGCACTCCGCGTTGCGTCGTGCTTAAGAACAGCCATTAGCTGTGGTATATTGACCATATACGGTACCAAACCCCCTCGGGCCTTATTGCTTAAATGTACCTCTCCACTAGAGCAGTGAACAGGTTGCATCAAAGCCGAAGCCAAAAGCCTCTTATAGAAAGCCTCAAGGGACAGTGCTGTCTAAACACAATGTCAGTCGCAGTAGTGTTGACACCAGCAGTAACACTCTCTTCAAATCAAATCAAATCACATTTTATTTGTCATATGCGCCGAATACCACAGGTGTAGACCTTACAGTGAAATGATTTCTTACAAGCCCTTAACCAACAATGCCGTTTTAAGAAAAACAAGTGTTTAGTAAAAAATATATAAGTAAAAAATAAAGACTAAAAATAGACAAATTAAAGAGCAGCAGTAAAATAACAGTAGGGAGTACCGGTACAGAGTCAATGTGCGGCGGCACAGGTTAGTCGAAGTAATTGAGGTAATATGTACAGTACCAGTCAAAAGTTTGGACACACCTACTCATTCAAGGGTTTTTCTTTATTTTTTACTATTTTCTACATTGTAGAATAAGAGTGAAGACATCAAAACTATGAAATAACACATTTAGAATCATGTAGTAACCAAAAAAGTGTTAAACAAATCAAAATATATTTTATATTTGAGATTCTTCAAATAACCACCCTTTGCCTTGATGACAGCTTTGCACACTCTTGGCATTCTCTCAACCAGCTTCACCTGGAATGCTTTTCCAACAGTCTTGAAGGAGTTCCCACATATGCTGAGCACTTGTTGGCTGCTTTTCCTTCACTCTGCGGTCCGACTCATCCCAAACCATCTCAATTTGGTTGAGGTCGGGGGATTGTGGAGGCCAGGTCATCTGATGCAGCACTCCATCACTCTCCTTCTTGGTAAAATAGCCCTTACACAGCCTGGAGGTGTGTTGGGTCATTGTCCTGTTGAAAACCAATGATAGTCCCACTAAGCCCAAACCAGATGGGATGGTTAAGTGTGCCTTGAATTCTAAATAAATCACTGACAGTGTCACCAGCAATACACCCCCACACCATAACACCTCCTCCATGCTTTACGGTGGGAAATACACATGCAGAGATAATCCGTTCACCCACACCGCGTCTCACAAAGCCACGGCGGTTGGAACCAAAAATCTCAAATTTGGACTCCAGATCAAAGGACACACTTCCACCGGTCTAATGTCCATTGCTCTTGTTTCTTGGCCCAAGCAAGTCTCTTTAGTAGTGGTTTCTTTGCAGCAATTTGACCATGAAGGCCTGATTCACACAGTCTCCTCTGAACAGTTGATGCTGAGATGTGTCTGTTACTTGAACTCTGTGAAGCATTTATTTGGGCTGCAATTTCTGAGGCTGGTAACTCTAATGAACTTATCCTCTGCAGCAGAGGTAACTCTGGGTCTTCCATTCCTGTGGCGGTCCTCATGAGAGCCAGTTTCATCGTTGCGCTTGATGGTTTTTGCAACTGCACATGAAGAAACTTTCAAAGTTCTTCACATTTTCCGTATTGACTGACCTTCATGTCTTAGTCGTTTCTCTTTGCTTATTTGAGCTGTTCTTGCCATAATATGGACTTGGTCTTTTACCAAATAGGGCTATCTTCTGTATACCCCCCCTACCTTGTCACAACTGATTGGCTCAAACGCATTAAGAAGGAAAGAAATTCCACAAATTAACTTTTAAGAAGGCACACCTGTTAATTGAAATGATTTCCAGGTGACTACCTCATGAAGCTGGGGGGGGGGGGGGGGGGGGGTGACAATGCAAGTAGTCCGAGTAGCCATTTCATTAGCTGTTCAGGAGTCTTATGGCTTGGGGGTTGAAGCTGTTAAGAAGCCTTTTGGACCTAGACTTGGCGCTCTGCTTGCCGTGCGGTAGAAGAGAGAACAGTCTATGACTAGGGTGGCTGGCGTCTTTGGCAATTTTTAGGGCCTTCCTCTGACACCGCCTGGTATAGAAGTCCTGGATGGCAGGAAGCTTGGCCCCAATTATGTACTGGGCCGTACACACTACCCTCTGTAGTGCCTTGTGGTCGGAGGCCGAGCAGTTGCCATACCAGGCGGTGATGCAACCAGTCAGTATGCTCTCGATGGTGCAGCTGTATAACTTTTTGAGGATCTGAGGACCCATGCCAAATATTTTCAGTCTCCTGAGGAGGAATAGGCTTTGTCGTGCCCTCTTTACGACTGTCTTGGTGTATTTGGACCATGATGATTTGTTGGTGATGTGGACACCAAGGAACTTGAAGCTCTCAACCTGCTCCACGACAGCCCCGTCGATGAGAATGGGGGCGTGCTCGGTCCTCCTTTACCGGTAGTCCACAATCATTTCCTTTGTCTTGATCACGTTAAGGAAGAGGTTGTTATAATAATAATATGCCATTTAGCAGATGCTTTTATCCAAAGCGACTTACAGTCATGCATGCATACATTTTTTGTGTATGGGTGGTCCCGGGGATCGAACCCACTACCTTGGCGTTACAAGCGCCGTGCTCTACCAGCTGAGCTACAGAGGCACCACACGGCCAGGTCTCTGACCTCCTCCCTATAGGCTGTCTCATCGTTGTCGGTGATCAGGCCTACCACTGTTGTGTCATCGGCAAACTTAATGATGGTGTGGTGTGTGTGTGTGTGTGTGTGTGTGTTTACAGATGAGGAGGATCACCCCCCAGTGCAGCCAGGTGAGGCGCTGGAAGACTTCCAGAGTCGTACAGAGCAATACTGGGTAGGCCTGGCCCGGGCCAACATGGGCCCAGAGGCTAAGGACACGAAGGTGCAGAAAGTGGGCATAGCCATGGCCAAGGTGTTCTATGAAGACAAGCAGTGAGCCAGGGTGTGTGTGCATGTGTATCCGCCTTCTTTGTGTGTGTGTGTGTGTGTGTGTGAATGGATCCAGATGGAGAGTAGTAGTGTGTTATAGGGATGGATGAGGGTACTCTAAACTATTGTTTCCCAACTCCAGTCCTCAAGTACCCCCCAACAGTACACATTTGTATTGTAGCCCCAGACAAGGACACCTGATTCAACTTGTCAACTAATCATCAAGCCTTCAATGAGGTGAATCAGGTGAGTTTGTCTGGGGCTACAACAAAAATGTGTGCTGTTGGGGGTACTCGAGGACTGGAGTTGGGAACCACTGATGAGTACCCTCATCCTTCCCTATGACACACTACTAGAGTTGGAAAACACTGCTTTAAACTGAAGAGTCCAATGAAATCATCTCTCTGCTTTGTAAACATTTCCTGCCCTCATTTCATGCCTTTGTACAGTAGGCCTAACCGTGCAAGAAAAGATGCTGTTGTTTTGGCAGTTGGACTACACTGCAGTATGTATGCTGTATTGTATCTGGAATTAGTTTCTAGTTTCATATCTTCATGAAGATGGTAAGAAAATCCTTGTCATTGCTCACCCCCTTTGATTATTGTTTTCTAAACCAATTTGTCATTAAATAATACCACAATACTTCTGTAGTCTCTGTAGTCTTTTTAAGGGTGATGTCCTATGTGTTTAGTGTTGACATGGCTCAACTTGATAAGTACTGGTTGGTCTTTCCCAGGGTTTGTGTTGTATTGAAGATAAGAAGATTACGTTTTTGCCTTTAAAATAGATTGTTGACTCAACTCTTGACGTTTGAACCACTACCCTGCTGACTTGTACCAAAGCTTTGCCTGAACATCTACTGTAGTACATTGTCTCCCCCTACTGTTTACCTTATAGTATGCAGCAGTCACACGTAGTCAAACTCCCCCTGCTGTATGCTAAAGGTAGAACAGTTACTTTGTTTTTAGTTCGACTCCAGACTCATCTTCTTATCTTAAGATGGAGATAGGAAGCTATATCGCAGGAGGAGGACGATTCAGCGAGTGAGTGATTGAAAAGGACAATGAAAATACTTTAGAAAAATAGTCAGGTATCAATCAATCAAATGTATTTATAAAGCCCTTTTTACATCAGCAAATGTCACAAAGTGCTTATACAGAACCCAGCCTAAAACCCCAAACAGCAAGCAATGCAGATGTAAAAGCATGGTGGCTAGGAAAAACTCCCTAGAAAGGCAAGAACCTAGGAAGAAACCTAGAGAGGAACCAGGCTCTGAGGGGTGGCCAGTCCTCTTCTGGCTGTTCAGGGTGGAGATTATAGGAGTACATAGCCATTAAGGCCAGATCGTTCTACAAGATAAGAGACAAGGGGTGAGGAAAGCAGGGCTAGATTATGAGCCAGGGAGGCAATCAGTGCCTCCAAATGAAACACAGCCTAAATAGCTAGCTATCCCAGAGTGACCTATTTTCTCAGCCCTGAGAAGAATGAGGGATGAAGAGTGGAGTGATGAATAATAGATGGAGAGCAGAGAGATGGATGAGGTTACTGGGATGCTGCAGACTGTCTCCAACTCTTTCACTCACTCCCTTCTTCATTCGTCTTCGACCCCCTTTTTTATTTTAAATCCTGTAAAAAAGACTGATATAAATAACTAAAAATATACTTTTTTGTGGGCGCAGTGCTGCTGACGTGTCGGGGCACATGAAGTGTGATCGTCACAGACTCGTCAGTGGTCCCGTGTGTGAGAGTGAGACTCACTCAGAGCGTATGGCTACGTCAATTAGTTGTATGTTAGTTGTATAATTTCATACCCTGTTTTCTTGATCTTTTTGGTATTCTCCTCTTTGATAATACCATATTAGGTGTTTTTAGACTGACTAGATGCAATAATCACCATTCATTATCAACCCTTTTCAATGTTGTTGCACTGAAGCTGTTCCGGCCCAGTATTCTGACTCATGATAACATGTTAATACAGTTTCCAATATATGAAGTCAAATAATTACATTTATAGCCATTTGTTTGTGTGTTTTATGTGAGTAGTTGTGATCATACACCCAGTTGTTTGGTGAGTCCATGACAGACTGTTACCTCTTTCTCTAACTCCTCCAATAGATTTAGAGAAATGACCCAGCGTCCTCTTCCAGTGGTGGGACACGGCTAAACTCCACACAGTGATTTCATTACAGTAATCTGGTGAAATTGGCTTAACTTCCCTTCAGACAACAAGTAGACAGGGAGGCAGTCAGAGACACAACAAGACCGACAGAGAACTGCACTGAGAAAAGGACAGTGGTTCCAGAGTCTGAGAGACAGGTTACTAGGGTTGACAGGGGTACGTCAATACTTGCAATATAATTAGGCTATGTTCTTATGTACTTGTGCCATTATATACCAGCTAAGCTAAAGAATATAGTTTGTATGTATGTTGCATCCTGCTGATTTTGTTGTGTGGTCTTGCTGTCGGATGTAGCAACATATAGGCCACACACACAAACTAATGTTGTTGACAGGAAGCCTACAAACTAAGCAGCAGTTGTGTATTTGGAATGTACCATTTTTAAATCTATTCAAGGGAATACTTTTTTTCTTTGCTTCATCAGCTTTTCATCTCTGGGTTATGGTAATGCAAGAGCATGGGAAATAAAGGAGGATAGAAAGGGATAGAGGAAGGGTTCACATACAGTATATAGACTGAAATGGCATAGAGAGGGAGGACTGATTGGAGGGAAATGAAGGCGTGTCGAGCTTGATACAGCATTTTCCTCTGCCTTTTCTCTTCTCTTTCTCTTTCCTCCCTTTTATTGTGAAAATAGGTCCCGGGAGACAAACCCCGCCCTCATCTGTCTGACCACGCCCCTCACGTGCTGGAGGGAAATACTAAGTCAGGGTTGCCATGGTGACCCACCCTCCAATTTTGCAGTTTAAAGTAGCAGCTTGGTTTACTCCCTCTGTGTCTTTATCGTACTTTGGTATCTAACATGTTGTTCACCTTAAAACATTTAACTATATGCAGTGTACACCTGCATACACACACACACTCAATGCATTTTATCTCTGACATCTTCAATACTCTTTTTCATTATGAAAAGAAGACCTGAGTAAAATAAGACTTGAAGAAAGAGGGAGAGGACAAAGATTAAATAACCACAAACCAGGAGTTTTCTTTCAAACACTTTGATTATTTTCTCCACATAACTCAAAAACGAACAGACCCCCAAAAAGTATAGAAATAAAAGAGAGGAGGAGAAAAAAAGAACTGGGCATGCTTGGGCATGCGATGGGCTCCCAGGGTGATGGGTACTTCCAGTCGGAATGGTAGAAAAACCACAGGAGCAGGTAGATCAGCCAGTCATCACCTCTGCACCTCTCAGTATCATCAACACCCACTGGGACACTTTTCATAGTTATTCTTTGAGTCTGTAAACCTTTTCCCATAATATGCCTTAACCATCTAACAGTATCAGTCCAGTTTCCAACAGTACCTACTACCTCAGGTAGTCAAGACTGGGGGAGAAAACGTTGTTGAAAAATAAAACTCCACACGTTTGGCCCCAGCTTTCATTCCTTCACATCGGCAGCTCTGTTTAACTTTGCTGGAGAGGTATAGGAGGAAGTGAAGAAGGAGCACACACAGACTGTGGATGATCACTTACAGGAGGACCAGGAGAATCAGGGCGGAGTACAAGCCCCTTACAGACATGCTATAAAAACATCTCAGAGTCTTTGAGTTAGTTAGCCAGCTAAAAAAAAGAAAAAGCAAAACACTTCTCTCTTAGTTTGTCTGTTTTTCCTCTCTCATTTTAGTTACGTCTAATATTTGGGTTTTGTCTTGGAGAAGCAGTGGGATGCAGTAGATTAATAGCCTGTGTCTGTCTCCTGTAATGTACTGTACTGTAGCGCAAGCCCAGGCTACCCTATGGAAGAGTCTGCTTCACAGAACAGTACTGGACAACACCTGGAAAAGTTCTGCTTGCTCAGGACTAAGAGCAACTTGGCAAAGCCTGTAAAATACAACTTTATTTGCAACACCACCACCCCCCTCCTTAACTGCTTCCAAAACTAGCCCTCTACTGCACATAGTTGCCCTTAGGCAACAGAAAATATTTTTGCCCCTCACCCTCCCCATATTATGATAATATATGATGACATGCCTGTAAACAATCCAATGAGGTGCAGAAGTTGGTATGATGTATCAATTGGGGGAGGGACCTTCATTCAGGAAGCAGAGCAACCTGAGCACATGGTGTGACTGAAGTGTACAATACATTTCATTCTTTTGCATGTTTAAATAGAGAGAACTTGACAATAAATATCTACTTGTGTAGGAACCTGTAAAGAAGCATATTTGATAGATTTTGAACAGGTAAAAAAGTATTTGATCCCCTGCTGATTTTGTACGTTTGCCCACTGACAAAGAAATGATCAGTCTATAATTTTAATGGTCGGTTTATTTGAACAGTGAGAGACAGAATAAAAACAAAAAAATCCAGAAAAAAGCATGTCAAAAATGTTATAAATTGATTTGCATTTGAATGAGGGAAATAAGTATTTGACCCCCTCTCAATCAGAAAGATTTCTGGCTCCCAGGTGTCTTTTATACAGGTAACGAACTGAGATTGGGAGCACACTCTTAAAGGGAGTGCTCATAATCTCAGTTTGTTACCTGTATAAAAGACACCTGTCCACAGAAGCAATCAATCAATCAATCAGATTCCAAACTCTCCACCATGGCCAAGACCAAAGAGCTCTCCAAGGATGTCAGGGACAAGATTATAGACCTACGCAAGGCTGGAATGGGCTACAAGACCATCGCCAAGCAGCTTGGTGAGAAGGTGACAACAGTTGGTGCGATTATTCGCAAATGGAAGAAACACAAAATAACTGTCAATCTCCCTCGGCCTGGGGCTCCATGCAAGATCTCACCTCGTGAAGTTGCAATGATCATGAGAACGGTGAGGAATCAGCCCAGAACTACACGGGAGGATCTTGTCAATGATCTCAAGGCAGCTGGGACCATAGTCACCAAGAAAACAATTGGTAGCACACTATGCCGTGAAGGACTGAAATCCTGCAGCGCCCGCAAGGTCCCCCTGCTCAAGAAAGCACATATACAGGGCTGTCTGAAGTTTGCCAATGAACATCTGAATGATTCAGAGGAGAACTGGGTGGAAGTGTTGTGGTCAGATGAGACCAAAATCAAGCTCTTTGGCATCAACTCAACTCGCTGTGTTTGGAGGAGGAGGAATGCTGCCTATGACCCCAAGAACACCATGCCCACCGTCAAACATGGAGGTGGACACATGCTTTGGGGGTGTTTTTCTGCTAAGGGGATAGGACAACTTCACCGCATCAAAGGGACGATGGATGGGGCCATGTACCGTCAAATCTTGGGTGAGAACCTCCTTCCCTCAGCCAGGGCATTGAAAATGGGTTGTGGATGGGTATTCCAGCATGACAATGACCCAAAACACACGGCCAAGGCAACAAAGGAGTGGCTCAAGAAGAAGCACATTAAGGTCCTGGAGTGGCCTAGCCAGTCTCCAGACCTTAATCCCATAGAAAATCTGTGGAGGGAGCTGAACGTTCGAGTTGCCAAACGTCAGCCTCGAAACCTTAATGACTTGGAGAAGATCTGCAAAGAGGAGTGGGACAAAATCCCTCCTGAGATGTGGGCAAACCTGGTGGCCAACTACAAGAAACGTCTGACCTCTGTGATTGCCAACAAGGGTTTTGCCATCAAGTACTAAGTCATGTTTTGCAGAGGGGTCAAATACTTATTTCCCTCATCAAAATGCAAATCAATTTATAACATTTTTCACATGCGTTTTTCTGGATTTTTTTGTTGTTATTCTGTCTCTCACTGTTCAAATAAACCTACCATTAAAATGATAGACTGATCATGTCTTTGCCAGTGGGCAAACGTACAAAATCAGCAGGGGATCAAATACTTTTTTCCCTCACTGTATATATACACTACCGGTCAAAAGTTTTAGAACACCTACTCATGCAAGGGTTTTTCTTTATTTTTACTATTTTGTACATTGTAGAAAAATGTATGAAGAGATCAAAACTATGAAATAACACATATGGAATCATGTAGTAACCAAAAAAGTGTTAAACACATTTTTATTTGAGATGCTTCAAATAGCCACCCTTTGCCTTGATGGCAGCTTTGCACACTCTTGGCATTCTCTCAACCAGCTTCACCTGGAATGCTTTTCCAACAGTCTTGAAGGAGTTCCCACATATGCTGAGCACTTGTTGGCTGCTTTTCCTTCACTCTGTGGTCCAACTCATCCCAAAACATCATAATTGGGTTGAGGTTGGGTGATTTTGGCCAGGTCATCTGATGCAGCACTCCATCACTCTCCTTCTTGGTCCAATGGCCCTTACACAGCCTGGAGGTGTGTTGGGTCATTGTCCTGTTGAAAAACAAAATGATTGTCCCACTAAGCCCAAACCAGATGGGATGGTGTATCGCTGCAGAATGCTGTGGTAGCCATGCTGGTTAAGTGTGCCTTGAATTCTAAATAAATCACTGACTGTGTCACCAGCAAAGCACCCCCAGACATCACACCTCCTCCTCCATGCTTCACAGTGGGAACCTCACATGCGGAGATCATCCGTTCACCTTCTCTGCGTCTCACAAAGACACAGCGGTTGGAACCAAAAATCTCAAATTTGGACTCTTCAGACCAAAGGACAGATTTCCACTGGTCTAATATCCATTGCTCGTGTTTCTTGGCCCAAGCAAGTCTCTTCTTACTATTGGTGTCCTTTAGTAGTGTTTTCTTTGCAGCAATTCGACCACAAAGGCCTGATTCACGCAGTCTCCTCTGAACAGTTGATGTTGAGATGTGTCTGTTACTTGAACTCTGTGAAGCATTTATTTGGGCTGCAATTTCTGAGGCTGGTAACTCTAATTAACTTATCCACTGCAGCAGAGGTAACTCTGGGTCTTCCTCTCCTGTGGCGGTCCTCATGAGAGCCAGTTTCATCATAGCGCTTGATGGTTTTTGCGACTGCACTTGAAGAAACTTTCAAAGTCCTTGAAATGTTCCATATTGACTGACCTTCATGTCTTAAAGTAATGATGGACTGTCATTTCTCTTTGCTTATTTGAGCTGTTCTTGCCATAATATGGACTTGGTCTTTACCAAATAGGGTTATCTTCTGTATACCCCCCTACCTTGTCACAACACAACTGATTGGCTCAAACACATTAAGAAGGAAATAAATTCCACAAATTAACTTTTAAGAATGCACACCTGTTAATTGAAATGCATTCCAGGTGACTACCTCATGAAGCTGGTTGAGAGAATGCCAAGAGTGTGCAAATCTGTCATCAAGGCAAAGGGTGGCTACTTTGAAGAATCTCAAATATAAAATATATTTTTATTTGTTTAACACTTGTTTGGTTACTACATGATTCCATATGTGTTATTTCATAGTTTTGATGTCTTCACTATTATTCTACAATGTAGAAAATAGTAAAAATAAAGAAAAACCCTTGAATGAGTAGGTGTGTCCAATCTTTTGACTGGTACTGTATATATAAATACATTTAGCTTTATTTTTGTTGCCTCAGGGCAACTTTGTGCAGTCAGGCAACGTTGTGCAGTTTGGCTACTTTTCAGGGCAATATCATGCTCAATGAAATACATGTAATTTGATGTAAAAGGATGGCCTTGGTCAATGTTTTTGCCAATATATCCACTGACATTCACAGGCAATGGACACAGCGACATTCTATGGGTGAAAGGAGCCTAATGGAGCAGTTAGGATCATACCCTCTGATAGTGAGAACAGTGAGCTTGAGGACAGTGACAGCGAGGAAGAATCAGGTTTGAGAGGCAGTGAAATACTAGTTTATGCTTATGAAAAGAATGCTTGTTTCTACTATGTTCCTCTTAATAAATGTTCTAAAAATATCATATTTTCCTTGGTGTTTTAGCAACAAATAAAATCTGTGTGGAGGGGGAGAAAAGCCTAAATCTTCCAAAAAATAGGATGGAATATTAGCAGTAGAGGGCTAGAGGAGACTTTTATATTTTTCCCCCAAAAAGTTGATCTATACAAAACTAAAACATACATGAGCATGCATTTTATATATATTTTTTCAACTTTATAAAACAAGGCAGTAGGCGTTTTTTTTAAGAAGTCTTGCAAATAGCTCAATATTTTTTTTTTTTTTCTGTCTTGGTAAATCATTTGTTTTGAAAGCAGCAGTTTGAAACATAACAGTCTCTGAACTTGCACTAGGGCCTCTTACTGTCCAGCCAGCCAGTGCCTCCAGACCAGACCAGGTGTGTGGGGTGAGGTTTGGGTAGAAACCTTTAGACATGATACTGTAGAGAGAGAAAGAGAGTGAGAGAAGGAAAAAAAGATAGAGAGAAAGAGAGTGAGAGAGAAAGAGAGAGAGAGAGAGAATGGCTCTGTAGGGGACAGAGGAGCAGATGGATGAGAACTGACAGAATGTCATGCGCTAGTCCTCATATAAAGTTCAACCTGTGCGTTAAAGGCCAGAGAGACATTGAGAAAGTTGTTTGGAATGTCAATATTTTATATGAATATAGCTTATCATCATTCACATACCACTGTATGTGTGTGAGTATTGTACCTGTTGTGTACATGGTATTGTACAGTGTGTATGTGTATGTGTTTGAGAGTTCTTTCCTTTAGATAATATTTTCATTTTGTTGTATGTTGACTATAAAGAGAATCTTTCATATTAGAAGCCCTTTCAGACAAAACTATTCCTACTCCGGTTGCAGACAGATTAGAGTTGATATACAGTAGTTCTTTGCACATGGCTCAATCTTGCTAACCCAAGTTGCTAAATTTGCAACAGGTTTACTAACATAGATAGGTTTTATGGTGCTATAGTTGTTAGAGGCAATTTTGTGTTGGTCATCCTGCTTTTTCAGATTGTAAACATGTCCTGTTGCTAACCAGGATCTCTAGTTGCAAAAGTGTTTTTTTTAGCCCTATTTTATTTAATCATATCTATATCTATATATCTATATGTTGTTTCCTTTTTCATGAAACACCTGCTTGCCATGACATTCTGTGGTCTATTTGGGGAAGTCTTGGTTAAGATGGTTTGTTGTAGGAATAGGGGAGCATGTTGGGGTATAAAATAAAAGGAGAGTTACATGAAACAAGGAAAAGAGGGTAACATGATATGGTGTGAGGTCCTGAGGGGACTACCGGGAAGAGGGGGAAGGGGGGGGGGGGGGGGGGGGGGGGTGAGAGGCTGAACTAATAATTGGGAAGGGTAACAGCGTGTCAGAAGGGTATAAATGTGCAGGAGGGAGGGGGGAGGGTTTGGAGGGCAGTGGGTAGGACCGGGGTCCGTTTCCCTCCCTTTGAACCTTGTATTACCTGGGTGGACAACACACCTAGGTTCAAATACTACTTGGAATCTTTAAAATACTTTCAGCATTTGCTTTAGCCTGCCTCGACTACCAGGTAGGCAGGGTTTTGCACTTTTGAGACTTTTCTATTGTTTCCATTGCAACAGTCAAGCTCAATCAAGCACAGCTAAAGTATTTTAAATGATGTGAAATAGAATTTGAACCAAGGTCAGGTGGACACAGCCACAACCAGACAAGATACATTATATCCTGTCTCATTCGACCCGCTACACCATCATACAAGAAGTGCTCATCTGAGTCTACCATCCCAAACACACATCAGCAATATTAACAGAGAAAAGGCAAGCAAGGAATAAAAAATGATTTAAAATAACATATCATACGTGAGCAAATTAATAAGTTAAATTATAAGTTACAAACCTTTTTTAAACAACAATTTCAGATGAAAAACAGGTAATGTCAGGGAGAGAAAGCAGATCACTGCTTATCTGAAATCTGGGCATTGGGAACCATCTTTATCCCCATATTGTTAATACTCTTACTGTACTCTTTACATAGTGTAAAATGGCCAAGGGCTGTATTGTCATGATGATACTCATAATATGTTATAATAATAGCATAGATAATAATAGGAATCATTAGGCAATCCATTTTTAAATAAAAAAGTGAATAAACAAAATTGCGACTCCAATGTTGAGCAAAATCACCATGACGACCAGAATTGAGCTGGAGCCCTGTGGAGGAGGGAGGGAGAGAATAGAATGTGTTAATTCAGACTTCCCCCACTAACACACACACACACACACACACACACACACACACACAGCTCTAACTGTACACACACACAAGCAAAGACACAGCTAATGTGTACTTTCTTTAATGTTGGTATTTACTCTGTATAATTAGGTTCATTTGAGAGATACTGTATTTTCATGTACTGTAAATTAGTCTCTCAGTGTTATTGAGAGCCAGCATGTTAAAACCGCAGACTATTAGGGACACCTAACTGATGAGCTTTTGTAACTCTGTCATGGAAAATGTATAGGGCTGGAGCACTCATAAAAGGGAAAGAGCATTACAAATGACCTATGTAATTATTAAAGCAGTTACTTAAGTTGAGTCCATAGCATGACATCTAAAATATTTTGAATAAAGATAATTCTTTCAACTGTAATTCACATGATCATTGGTATCCTCTAACAACAGCTATGTTTACCCTACACCATGCTACTGAATGATTCATCCGAAGGATATGGATATTGTGTATAATTGATGCACTTCATATGCCAGTGACCCTGTCGTTATGGTGGTGCACTCTCCATGCCAAACAGGTTGTGTAGATGGCTCAGTTCACTGATCCCATTTGTCTGTGTGATACGTGGACATTAGCTCCATGTGTCCTGTTGGAGTATCCTCGTGGATATCTGTATGTTTAACTGTGCTGCTAGAATAGACTATAGGGAGAGCTTTGTGTAAAGGTGTTTTACAATGTGATCACTTGCAGAATCTGTGTCTGCTTATGCGTGAATGTATCTATGTTTCATGTGAACCTGTCTTACACAAGTCAGCTGCATTAATCGCCTCTCTGCGGCTGCAAACCCCCCCCCAGACACCAACACACACCCACTGATTGGCTCCTGCTGAAGCAAGGCATAAGCTGTTTCCTAGCAACAGAGCGTGGGGCAGCCAATGCAGGGATGCTTTGTGGAAGGAGATACTTTGCCAATCTGCTGTTACTAAGGTGCTGGGAGTACAGTGGGAGATAGCTAGCTGAGGCTGTGTGGTGCGGTGGAGGGGACTGTGGGAGGTTAGAGAGCCTGACCACAGTGTCTGTGTTGTGTAGAGCACTTGCCTATCAGGAGACTACATCAGGGCCCGGGATGCTCCCACTTACTACTGTACATAGCTACAGTATGAGTTCATTCTGTTATTATGTCTGTATACAGCACAGTAATTATACATTTATAGTACTTCTATCATTGATTACAGTAAAATTGTGTTTGAATGCTGTGTAAATGCAGTTGACATGTGCATGCAAGTGATTTCTCACGCATGTGTGATTTTCAGCATGTGTGCACACAACAAGCAAATTATATGACTAAGTGTGACTATGAGTGTGTGGGTGAGAGGAGGCGTCCTTACCGAGTTTGCTTTGAGCTGGGTTAGTTTCTTGTCATCGTCGTGTTCTAGTGCAATGGGTGAGGATTTCTGTGGGGGGGAGAGGGTGAGGTCCCTGCGCAGAGGCCGAGCCTCCAACTTGTCCCCCTTGCTCAGACTGTCCAGCTTTTGCATTGAGTCTGGGGCCGGACCATCCTTTCCCTCTATGCCCTCCCACTCTCCTGACGGCCGTGCCGCCTCCCTTTCCCGGCCCTCCCTGGCCTCCCGGCTCTTAGAAGGCCGCTGTCTCTGCAGCGTGTGGGAGCGGGCCTCACAACTGTGACCATGGCTCTCCTCTCCCAACCCATAGGGCTTCTGGGAGTTGGAGTCCATGGGCTGCAGCGGCCTCATCTCCATCTCGTAGTTGCTCAGCTTCTCCTCATCCTGCTCCAGCAGCCGCGTGTCACCGCTGTGCGTCTGCTGGGACCTCCACGATGCCGACGGGCAGTCCGACCATCGGTCCCTGGAGGCCTTGTGATTGGACGAGCCATGCTCTCGAGACTTGTGATTGGAGGAGGCGTGCTTATGGCCGTGGCCATTGGTGCGGCCCCTGGCCTCGTCCTGGACAGAGGGGGTGGTGGAGCGACTGCTGCCCCTGCTGCCCCCCCTGCTGCCCCCTTTAGAAGAGCGCTTGTCCTCGCTCCAGCTGTTGGCCCTTAGGTACTCCCCCCCTCCACGGCCCTCCATCAGCACCTGGATCTCCTGGCCACCACTGCCCCCTCCTCCACTGCCACTGCCCCCTCCCCCACCGCCACTGCCCCCACCGCCACCCACAGTGTCGTCCACAGCACTCTGCCGCAGGAAGCGTGCGTTCTTGGTGCGGTGTGGCTTGGCAGTGGTGGGGCTGCAGGGGGGTGAGGATGGGTGGCTGGCCTCAGGGCTAAGGTCAGGGGTCAGGTTGGGGGGCGTGGTGCCCTTTATGTAGAGTTCAGGACTGTCTGGCCCCGTGCCACTGGAGATCACCTCGATGTCGTTCTCACTGGAGTTCTGATGCTTTGGCCTTCGGACCTCTACTCCTGACCAACAGCAAAGAGACACAGGGAGAGAGACACAGAGAGAGAGACACAGAGAGAGAGACACAGAGAGAGACACACAGAGAGAGAGAGAGAGAGAGAGAGAGAGAGAGAGAGAGAGAGAGAGAGAGAGAGAGAGAGAGAGAGAGAGAGAGAGAGAGAGAGAGAGAGAGAGAGAGAGAGAGAGAGAGAGAGACACAGGGAGAGAGACACATAGAGAGAGACACAGGGAGAGAGACACAGAGAGAGAGAGACACAGAGAGAGAGAGACACAGGGAGAGAGACACAGAGAGAGAGAGACACAGGGAGAGAGACACAGAGATTGAGACACAGGGAGAGAGATAAAGAGTCAGGACAGCATGACACACAACTTTGGGATAGTCACATTTCAAAACATTGGCATAGTTCCATTTCAAAGTGAATGATTTAGAATGATTTAGCTATTCTCTCTGTTTTGTATGCATGTAGTCCAACCTCTGTTTTATGGGCGAAACCAACTGACCCCATGATGACATGAACAACTGTACTGCTAACGTCAACCAGATGATGTCAGTATAATGTTAAGGAAATCAAAGGGATGTGCATCTGGAAGGAACCATAACCCCACACATTGACTTTAAATGACCTAATTTCCTTTCCTGAGATGCGTGTAGTTGACGTCCCCATTCTATTATGCAATCATGCATACAGCACAGAATACCTCTTTAAAGTAGACAGACTATTCGTGACCACCCTTGTCCTGTCTGTAGACTAGACTCTGCCTTTTTTCAGGTTTTACAAAGTCAGCAGAACCTGTGAGAGATCGGGAGCTGGTTAAGCATTCTACTCAGTTACGCTAATCACCCCTCTCTTTCTCTGCATTGCCTACCTTACCTCGCTGTCTCCTAGACATCTGCACCCAGACAGTCACAGCACTCACACAATCTTTATCCTGTGCAACACAGCACAGCACACTCATAGAAGAAAAGGACCCTTGAAGAACCTTTGGGGTTCAAAACGATTGCCACTGTGGGGGAACCTTTTAAATTCAAAAAGGTTCCTTGAGGAACCTCTCTGAAAAGGTTCTTAGAGGAACCCCTTTGAAAAAGGTTCCTCGAGGAACCCCTCTGAAAAGTTTCAAACATTAACCTTTTTGTGATCAGAAGATGGGAGGCGTGGTGTATTGGCGTGGCGTTCAAATAGTTGTTTTTGGCCACCTGTGAGAGTAAATGTCATACCTGTTCATGTGTTCTGTTGTATTGTCATTATAGGTTAAGGTTGTACACTGACAGTTCTGAAGTCTTGTTAAAATAGCAATCCATTGTTCAGATAGTCACCATTTCGTCACCAAGGCTTGGGTGCGCTGTTATGCCTCTTCTGACACTATTGTAACAAAATGGTGGCTATCTGAAAAATTGATTGCTATTTTAACAAGACTTCAGAACTGTCAGTGTACAACCTTAACCTATAATGACAATACAACTATTTGTCTCTTAGTATCACATGCACTTATGTAAGCCTTTACAAGGCTTTGGAACTGATAGTGTACAAGCTTGGCCTTTAATAACAGTACAACAGAACAGGCATGACATTTACTATCACGGGTGGACAAAAATAACTATCTGAAAGCCATGCCTCCAATAAGCCAAGCCTCCAATCTTCTGATAGGCTGCCACCGCTACAATATTATTGCTGTTACTCTTACACAGAGCAGCTAGCTAAAAGCTAGGCTGAAGATACTGTAGCTAGCTAGTGACCTAAGTCAACACCCAATCAAATCATCAATCATCAATCTTCATAAACAAACGTCATTACCATCACTTTTTGGAATTAGCAGTCATATAATATCATTGGCTTGACAGCCAATGTTGTATTATTTAACATTGCTATTGAAATAGTACTCATAAAGGAATGGGTAATTGTTTACAAGTTTCTAGCTATCCCATAAAGCCATCGCCGAAAACCTTCTGAGTCTGGCAGCACAACAAAATCCAACAGATAAATACATTCAAAGTGCTCTGCATGTGCCAGCAAAATAGTTCCTATAGGAACCCTGTGCTACATTGAAACATTAAAGTTCCTCCAAGAACCCCTCAACTAACCAAAGGTGCAAATATGAACCCATTGACTGCAATGGTTACTTGAAGAACTCCAGGGTTCCTTGAGGATCTCCAGGGTTCCATAGTGCTCAATGGGCTAATTTATCATGTACAAATGCACAGATAATGTATGCAAAAGGTTTGAGTGGCAAATGAGGTTAGCCCCTCCCCTCATCATCAAGAGCCACTCACCCGCCCTCTGATCATTCTCACATCTCTTCCTCACAGAAGAGTCCTACTTTAAGCTTTCCTCGGCACGACTTGACCTGTTTTCCTGTTCAACTGTTCGCAGGTGTGCCGTGAGGTTACGCCGCCGAACGCAGGTTTTTCAGCTCCTGTCTTCTGTGTTGGGTGACTTTACCAAAACGAGTTTTCGTTTCAGGAAAGAATTAGCCTTTCTGCTTTTTCTTCCTTTTGTCTCCTGTGGTAGCTAGCATCACATTGCTAGCTACTGAGACTTGGCTAGCTTAGCTGCAAGGCTTAGCTAACCTGGCTAGCTTGCCGCAAGGCTAACTATCCTGCCGACTAGATTTTCTACCTGGAAGGGTAGAATTACTAGCTCGCTCTCTCATTTAGCTCAAACCACTACAGTGCCACGTTGACTAGACCGACTGTCCTAGTTTCACTGCTTATCGGTTGAGAGCCACAGTTTTCTTCGATGCAAGACCAACAAAGCGCTAGCTTTCTTTGGCTAACATTGTGCTAACTAGCTAGGCTACTAGCCCACGATCCAGATCAACTCAATCAGCCTGCGCAACAGATACACATTATCGGCCAATGAGAGGAATGCATTATATATTCTGCAAAGAGATGCATGCTTATGATTGAACAAAACAGATGAAAAGGAGCTTCATGTCAAATTGAACATCCATTAGTCTCACGTGGAATTCTAGTCTCGTTACATTTTCGTCAACAAAAATGAAAAGTAATTGGTAATAGTTATCGTATTTCTCAGTGCATCTGGTCTTGTTATCATAATTCGTTTTCCTCAGGAAAAATAGATAGTTGACGAGTATTTTTAATCATAGTTATTGTTGACGAACTGAACACTGGGTTAATGGCGTTCACCATCTCAGTGGTACCTCTTGGCCTACTGAGGATGAGAGACTTCCGTGTACACGGCGTCACCTCAGTCTTCAGATAAAGGTGACCTCCACATGTCTCTTGGCTCTCCGTCACTGGAAGAGCCCCTCAATCTTCGTTCCTGGCACTCCCCTAGGGGTAGTGGCAACGAGGAAAGTGATGACGACACACTCGTCACTCACAGGCTGGGGCGCAGGTCATGAGGGGAAGGCAATAAATGGAGTGTGGAACCCACAACTCTGCATTACTCACATAAATTACCTTGAATTGCTGACAGTGTTTCTCTCTCTGAGACACTTTTGACCCTCCCTTCGGAATTTTCACGTCTTGATCAGAACGGACAATACGACTGTGGTAGCTTATATCAACCGCCAGGGTGGCATTTGGTCCCCTCTCTTACACAGACTATCCGTCAGGATTATTCTGTGGAGCAGAGCACACCTACTGTCACTTTATGATCAGGGAAGGGACTCAACTCTTTTGCCACTCGACCTGTCTGTCTCCGACAGACGTGTGTGATTGGTTCTTTGAGCTTCTGAGATTCTGGTGAATCATGTGAGATATCTCACTCATAATATCAGAGAACCGGGGTTACGCAAGTACAGAAACCTTATGTTTTATCTGCCCATAGCAGCTTGTTGAAATGAACCCTTTTTTAAAGAGCGGTTAGGACACTCTGTTGCCATGGCTCTGAGGATAAACCCAGCCTTCTAGGGAATCTGTTACTGTGATTCTTTATAATGTCATGACATTAAAACCAGCTATCAAGGTATCGTCAGGTACGTGGACAAAAAAAACAAGTTAGGGACAGTATATGTCAGGAAGTGTTTGTGTATGTGTTTGTGTGTGTGTGTCAGTCAGCCTGCCTTGCGTGGGCTGGTTGGAAAGGTCATTGTTGACCTCCCTCCAGCTTCCTGTTACTGCCTCCATCACTCATGGCTTGCACTGCACTGTGGGTAACTGGTCCCATGGGGCCCGAGCACATACTGTACAGAAACCACACGCCTGACACTGACACCCGATTTACTTTGTCATTCTCTCCTATCTCTCTCCATTAGTTACATGTTCAGGAGACATACAGTGGCTTGCGAATGTATTCACCCCCCTTGGCATTTTTCCTATTTTGTTGCCTCACAACCTGGAATTAAAAATTGATTTTTGGGGGGTTTGTATCATTTTATTTACACAACATGCCTACCACTTTGAAGATGCAGAATCGTTTTTGTTGTTGTTGTGAAACAAACTAGAAATAAGACAAAAAACAGAAAACTTGAGCGTGCATAACTATTCACCCCCCAAAAGTCAATACTTAGTAGAGCCACCTTTTGCAGCAATTACAGCTGCAAGTATCTTGGGGTATGTCTGTATAAGCTTGGCACATCTAGCCACTGGGATTTTTGCCCATTCTTCAAGGCAAAACTGCTCCAGCTCCTTCAAGTTGGATGGGTTCCGCTGGTGTACAGCAATCTTTAAGTCATACCACAGATTCTCAGTTGGATTGAGGTCTGGCCTTTGACTAGGCCATTCCAAGACATTTAAATGTTTCCCCTTAAACCACTTGAGTGTTGCTTTAACAGTATGCTTAGGGTCATTGTCCTGCTGGAAGGTGAACCTCCGTCCCAGTCTCAAATCTCTGGAAGACTGAAACAGGTTTCCCTCAAGAATTTCCCTGTATTTAGCGCCATCCATCATTCCTTCAATTCTGACCAGTTTCCCAGTCCCTGCCGATGAAAAACATCCCCACAGCATGATGATGCCACCACCATGCTTCACTGTGGGGGTGGTGTTCTGAGGGTGATGAGAGGTGTTGGGTTTGCGCCAGACATAGCGTTTTCCTTGATGGCCAAAAAGCTCAATTTTAGTATTATCTAACCAGAGCACCTTCTTCCATATGTTTGGGGAGTCTCCCACATGGCTTTTGGCGAACACCAAACGTGTTTGCTTATTTTTTTCTTTAAGCAATTGCTTTTTTCTGGCCACTCTTCCGTAAAGCCCAGCTCTGTGGAGTGTACGGCTTAAAGTGGTCCTATGGACAGATAATCCAATCTCTGCTGTGGAACTTTGCAGCTCCTTCAGGGTTATCTTTGGTCTCTTTGTTGCCTCTCTGATTAATGCCCTTCTTGCCTGGTCCATGAGTTTTGGTGGGTGGCCCTCTCTTGGCAGGTTTGTTGTGGTGCCATATTCTTTAAATTTTTTAATAATGGATTTAATGGTGCTCCGTGGGATGTTCAAAGTTTCAGATATTTTTTTATAACCCAACCCTGATCTGTACTTCTCCACAACTTTGTCCCTGACCTGTTTGGAGAGCTCCTTGGTCTTCATGGTTCCGCTTGCTTGGTGGTGCCCCTTGCTTAGTGGTGTTGCAGACTCTGGGTCCTTTCAGAACAGGTGTATATATACTGAGATCATTTGACCGATCATGTGACACTTAGATTGCACACAGGTGGACTTTATTTAACTAATTATGTGACTTCTAAAGGTAATTGGTTGCACCAGATCTTATTTAGGGGCTTCATAGCAAAGGGGGTGAATTTTCATTTCATTTCACCAATTTGGACTATTTTGTTTATGTCCATTACATGAAATCCAAATAAAAATCCATTTAAATTAAAGGTTGTAATGCAACAAAATACGAAAAACGCCAAGGGGGATGAATACTTTTGCAAGGCACTGTATGGGACAATGGGGTGGTTGCCTCACTTTGATACAATATTTTCTCTCAGCATTTCACGTTGATTACATAAAGTGACACACTGTAAGTGTCAAATAGACTAATAGCATTAGTGTATTGGCATTTGTGGTTATCAAAAGACTACTGTGTGTCTTCAAAACTGGTGCTTCTGGTGTATTGTATTGATGGTTGCCATGGGGATGGTGATCATGGCAGCAAGTGGTGGCACACTCACCGTTTTCACGGTGCTGGAAGGAGGGGGAGAACCCTTTGGCGGTGACCCTGGCGAGGCGACACTCCTCCTGGGCCTTCTGGCCAGCTCCCACGGCCGCCTCCGCCTTCCCCCGCGCATGGGCCGTCCTGTAGGGGGGAGATAATAATAATAATAATAATAATAATAATAATAAAAAAACTAAATAAATTCCTGAAAGCAACTGCAGGGCGGAAGTTGATGTGACTGACTTTGTGAGTGTACTGTACGTGCATTGGAATGTAGAGCTTTTTTGTTGTGCTTAAAATATAATAGATGGCCAATTTCCCTTTTCCTAAGACCCACTCTGTTTGAGGTCAGGTCCTCTAAGTAGTAAGAGTCTGGCAAGCTGGGATAGCCTAATAAATAATGCACCTGCAGAAACAATGAGCCCACCCTGTATCCCAGCCATAATCACTGTCTCCTCTCTCTGTTTTCATCTGGCTGCTCTCTCATTGATCTCTGCCATATGCTTTACCTATCTTCGATCCTAGGTTAGACTCAGATTCCTCTCTGCAGTCTGGTGAGGTAGCCTACTGACTGTACAGTACATATGACGACAGTCAGACAGCCCCATGCTTTCATCTTTCTCTGTCATGCTACTGTGGTCTCATAAAATAATAGAGGCCTGATGACAATGGATACTTCTGTTTAAGCTCGCATGACATAATGCCGACATAAAGCCGTTTTGCCTTTACCATTCTTCCTAGTCTCTCTCTCTCTCTCTCTCTCTCTCTCTCTCTCTCTCTCTCTCTCTCTCTCTCTCTCTCTCTCTCTCTCTCTCTTCCTTGTTTGTGCAGGAACTGTCTTGGTGCAGTATTGCATGTCGATGGTTATTGATTTGTTTTTGTCTCTCTCTGTTTCTTTTTGCTTCTGGCTCTTTTCGCACTGGCATTAGAGCCATGCCGGACATGTCAGAGAACTCACAGCACTGTGTCTGTGTGTATGTGTGTGAGCAAGAGAGATATTGTATGAGTTATGGTGTGAGTAATAGTCTGTACGTTTTTTCTGTTTGTTAGGTTTAGTTAGCCATGTGTCGACAGTGTTGGCTGGCCTGGTGTGTTTGGTAGGACACATTAGTGGGTGTTGGAGAGGGGTGTGGTCAGGGTGGGGGTGAGGAGGCAGGTGAGGTGAGATGGGGTGGGTTGGAGATAGCGCTCCATATCCTGCTCTACACTGGGAACTAGCCCTCTCCTGGACCGTTGTCCTAGCAACTGCAGGAACGAAGGATTGAGAAACAGAGAGAGAGGGGGAAAGGGAGAGAGAGAGAGAATGAGAGAGAAAGGGAAGCGAGGCAGCGTGAGGGAGGATAGGAAGATTCTTCCATTCAGTGTTACTGTTACCCAGAGCACTGCATGAGTTCATTTAGAGCTTCATAATTTAGAACGAATGCAGTGATCATCTCTCTCTCTCAAATTCAAATGGCTTTATTGGCATGAATTACAATTTGTAGATATTGCCAAAGCAGTATAGTATACTCTCTCTCTCTCTCTCTCTCTCTCTCTCTCTCACACACACACAGTAGCACAGTAGGGTTGGCGTGTAAGACAAATATGGATCTGATCTATATGTACTGTGGTCCTGGGTTGAGGTGTACTGATTTTCTGTCTATTTACAGTGCATTTGGAAAGTATTCAGACCCCTTGACTTTGTTTGCACATGTATTAAAAATAAAAAACTGAAATATCACATTTACATAAGTATTCAGACCCTTTACTCAGTACTTTGTTGAAGCACCTTTGGCAACGATTATAGCCTCAAGTCTTCTTTTGTATGATGCTACAAGCTTGGCACAGCTGTATTTGCGGAGTTTCTCCCATTCTTCTCTGCAGATCCTCTCAAGCTCTGTCAGGTTGTATGGGGAGTGTCGCTGCACAGCTATTTTCAGTTCTCTCCAGAGACGTTAGATCGGGTTCAAGTCCGGGCTCTGGCTGGGCCACTCAAGGACTTTCAGAGACTTGTCCATAAAGCCACTCCTGCGTTGTCTTGGCTGTGTGCTTAGGGTCATTGTCCTGTTTGAAGATGAACCTTCGCCCCAGTCTTGAGGTCCTGAGAGCTCTGGAGCAGGTTTTCATCAAGGATCTTTCTGTACTTTTCTCCATTCATCTTTCCCTCAATCCTGACTAGTCTCCCAGTCCCTGCTGCTGAAAAACATCCCCACTACATGATGCTGCCACCACCATGCTTTATGGGGTATTGTGTGTAGATTGATGAGGAAATTATTTTATTTAATCAATTTTAGAATAAGGCTGAAACGTAACAAAATGTGGGAAAAGTCAAGGGGTCTGAATACTTTCCGAATGCACTGTATATCCCACCGAGCCGCAGCAGTAAGAACACCACTTCTGATTTCACAGAGACACTAATCATTCCATGACATCAGACACACAAAGGCCTTCCTGCCGGCACCCCTCCTCCCTCTTAATACAACATCTTACACGCACACATGCACACGCACACACACATTCAAATAAGTTATTTCACCACTCTCTGACTCTCACACTAACTCGTGCACACTGTCTCTATACTTGTTGAACCCTCTTTCTAATGCAAACACAGACACGTTTTCTCACACAAACTGCACTCACCTTGTAACGCCTTGTAACCCACTTCTTCTCTAGCACACATTCAGGAGCGAACTTCCTCTCACACCTTTATCTATCCAACACATTTATTCACACTGAATTTACACTGAGTGTACAAAACATTAAGAACACCTTCCCCATGTTGACTCCAATGGTTCCCACAGTTCCTTTGGGTGGTGGACCATTCTTGATACACATGGGAAACTGTTGAGCATGAAAAACCCAGCAGCGTTGCAGTTCTTGACACAAACCGGTGCGCCTGGCTAGGGCTGTGGCGGTCATGACATTTTGTCAGCCGGTGATTGTCAAGCAAATAACTGCCGGTCTCATGGTAATTGACTGTTAACTAACATAAACACATTTAGCATCTCCTGACTTCCACACATAGCCTACAATCTACTGATGCAGACCTTCGGAACATCTACATTTAAAAAAGTATAATAAATCCATGATATATAGCCTACACCTTCACAATAAATCCATTATTTATTTTAGACAGGTCTAAAGAAACATGATATGATGTAAATGTAATCTATTTCAGAAGAACAGAATGTAAAATGTAAACAGAATAGCATACTCTGAGTTGTCCTTATGTTAGGCCCTGATCTTGTCACACCCTGATCTGTTTCACCTGTCTTTGTGATTGTCTCCACCCCCCTCCTGGTGTCGCTCATCTTCCCCATTATCTCCAGTGTATTTATACCTGTGTTCTCTGTTTGTCTGTTGCCAGTTCGTTTTGTTTCGTTAAGCCTACCAGCGGTTTTCCCCTTGCTCCTGTCTTTTTCAAGTTCCTGTTTTCTAGTTTTCCCGGTTTTGACCATTCTGCCTGCCCTGACCCTGAGCCTGCCTGCCGTTCTGTACCTTGTCACACCACCCTGGATTATTGGCCCCTGCCATGACCCTGAGACTGCCTGCCGTTTTGTACCTTTTGGACTCTGATCTGGATTACTGACCTCTGCCTGCCCTTGACCTGTCGTTTGCCTGCCCCCCGGAGGCGCTGTTCGACACGTTCCAGCACGGAGTATCGGAGGAAGTAAAGGACGAGCTTGCAGCCCGGGAACTACCATCGGATCTCGACTCGCTCATCGCCTTGACCATTCGGATTGATGGGCGACTACAGGATTGAGAGGAAGGATTCCACCTCGCCTCTGAGGCTACCGAGTTCCCCCAAGAGTCTACGAAGTCTGCCGATTCACCTCTTCCCGAGCCGATGCAACTAGGCAGAGCTTGGCTGTCTCCAGCCGAACGGCAATACAGGCTTCACACGAAGAGTTGCCTGTATTGTGGGACTACTGGTCATTTTGTGTCCACCTGTCCACTAAAAGACCAGGCTCACCGGTAGGAGCGAGTACTCTGGTGGACCATACAGATAACTTTTTCTTTCCCCTTACTCGCACCCCCTTTCATGCCATCTTGATGTGGGGGAACCAGTCGAAATCTCTTTGGGTACTCATCGACTCTGGGGCCGATGAGAGCTGTATGGACGCTACCCTGGTGTCCGATCTGGTTATCCCCACTCAGCCCCTCTCCTTTCCTATGGACGTTAGAGTGCTGGACGGTCGCTCTATAGGCCGGGTCAACCACAATACCACCCCCATCAATCTACGAGTGTCAGGGAACCACAGCGAGACGATCCAATTCCTGCTAATTAAGTCTCCTCAGGTTCCCGTGGTATTGGGTTTCTCTTGGCACCAGCGACACAACCCCTTTATTGACTGGTCTACTGGTGCCATCATGGGCTGGAGCCCGTTCTGCCATGTTCATTGCCTGAAGTCAGCTCAGCCTGCCCCGGGACGTCTTCCTGGGGGCTTGGAAGTTGCCTCGGACCTCTCCACCATTCCCGCGGAGTACCAGGACATCCGGGAGGTGTTCAGTAAGGCCCGGGTCACTTCGCTTCTGCCGCACCGACCCTACGACTGCGGAATCGACCTTCTCCAAGGCACCACTTCGCCCCGGGGACGACTGTACTCGTTGTCGGGTCCGGAGACCAAGGCTATTGAGACCTACATTGAGGACTCCCTAGCTGCCGGGTTCACCCGTCCTTCTGCCTCCCCCGCCGGTGCAGAGTTCTTCTTTATGGAGAAGAAGGACAAAATCCTGCGCCCGTGCATCGACTACCGGGGCCTCAACGACATCACGGTGAAGAACCGCTACCCCCTACCACCCATCTCTTCGGCATTCGAGGCACTCCAGGGGACCAACGTGTTCTCCAAGCTGGACCTACAGAACGCCTCCACCTGGTGCAGATACGGGAGGGGGACGAGTGCAAGACTGCCTTCAACACGGCCAGCGGTCACTAAGAGTATCTGGTCACGCCATTTGGCCTTAACAGTGCTCCAGCTGTGGTCCAGGCCCTGGTTAATGATGTTATCCGTGACATGTTGAACCGGTTCGTCTTCGTCTACCTCGACGACATCCTCGTCTTCTCCCGCTCTGCACAAGAACAAGTGCTCCACGTCGAACAGGTACTCCAACGCCTCCTGGAGAACCAGCTTTTTGTGAAAGCGGAGAAATGCGAATTCCATCGCTCCACCATCCCCTTCCTGGGCTACATCATCGCTGCAGGGAGTGTACAGATGTATCCCGGGAAGGTGAGAGTGGTGGTGGATTGGCCCCAGCCAACGTCCAGAGTGCAGCTGGAACGTTTCCTGGGGTTTGCCAACTTTTAACGCTGCTTTATCCGGGGTTCTAGCACCGTGGCTTCCCCCTGTCTGCACTCACCTCTCCCAAGGTTCCGTTCACATGGTCCCCAGCTGCTGACCCAGCGTTCCGGGACCTCAAACACCGTTTCAACACTGTTCCCATCTTGGTTCATCCTGACCCATCCCGCCAGTTCGTGGTGGAGGCTGACACTTCGGATGTCGGAGTGGGGGCAGTCCTGTCCCAGCGTTGTTTCTGACGCTGTCCGCTCATCGGTCCTGGAGAGGGCCCACTCCTCCAGGCTTGCCTGCCATCCGGGGTCCCATTGGACCCTGGCCTTTGTGCGACAACGCATTTGGTGGCCTACCATGGTTCCTGACGTCTCCACGTTCGTCGCCGCCTGCACGATCTGTGCACAGAACAAGACTCATCGGCAAGCTTAGGCTGGTCTCCTCCAACCTCTGCCTGTTCCTCACCGTCCCTGGTCTCACGTAACCCTGGACTTTGTCACGGGTCTTCCCCCATCTGATGGCAACACTGCCATCCTGACAGTTGTGTACCGGTTTTCCAAAGCCGCCCACTTAATTCCTCTCCCTACGCTACCCTCTGCCAAAGACACGGCCCAGCTCATGCTGCAGCATGTCTTCCGGATCCATGCACTCCCAGTGGACATGGTCTCCGACCGGGGTCCTCAGTTCTCGTCCTGGTTATGGAAGGCGTTCTGCACACTCATCGGGTTGTCGGCCAGCCTGTCCTCCGGTTTCCACCCTCAGTCCAACCGCCAGTCGGAGCGAGCTAACCAAGACCTGGAAACGACTCTGCGCTGCCTGGTCTCCGCCAACCCCACCACCTGGAGCCAGCAACTAGTGTGGGTCGAGTACGCCCGGCAACACCCTTCCCTGCTCTGCCACACGTCTTTCACCCTTTGAGTGTTCCCTGGGTTATCAGCCCCCGCTCTTCCCAAAGCAAGAGGAAGAGGTTGGCATACCCTCGGCCCAGATGTTTGTCCGCCGCTGTCGTCGTACCTGGAGGAGAGCCCGGTCGGCTCTTCTCTCAAGACCACCTTCCAGGTATCGACAACAAGACACCGGACCCCGGCTCCCCGGTATCGTCTCGGGCAGAAGGTATGGCTGTCCACCCAAGATCTGCCCCTCCGGGTGGAGTCCCGCAAACTTTCCCCCCAGTTTATCGGCTCTTTCCCAATCTTCAAGATCATTAGCCCCTCTGCTGTTCGTCTTCTGTTGCCCCGTACGTATACATCCCACTTTTCATGTGTCTAGGATCAAACCCATGTCTCACAGCCCTTTGTCTCCTGTTTCCAGGCCCACCCCTCTCCCCCGTGTCATCGACGGCCAACCGGCGTACGTGGTGAGGCGTCTCCTGAAGGTTCGACCTCGAGGCAGGGGATTCCAGTACCTGGTTGACTGGGAGGGTTATGGCCCGGAGGAGAGGCGCTGGGTCCCCGCTAGGGACATCCTGGACCCAGGCCTCATCGCTGACTTTCAACGCCGGCACCCCGGTCAACCAGGTATGCGCCCAGGTAGGACGCCAGGTGGCGCCCCTAGTGGGGGGGTACTGTCACACCCTGATCCGTTTCACCTGTCTTTGTGATTGTCTCCACCCCCCTACAAGTGTCGCCCATCTTCCCCATTATCCCCAGTGTATTTATACCTGTGTTCTCTGTTTGTCTGTTGCCAGTTCGTTTAGTTTCGTTAAGCCGACCAGTGTTTTTCCCCTTGCTCCTGTCTTTTTCAAGTTCCTGTTTTCTAGTTTTGACCATTCTGCCTTGACCCTGAGCCTGCCTGCCGTTCTGTACCTTTTGGACTCTGATCTGGATTACTGACCTCTGCCTGCCCTTGACCTGTCATTTGCCTGCCCCCTGTTTTTGTAATAAACTTTTGTTACTTCGACACTGTCTGCATCTGAATCTTCTCCTGAAACGTGATAGATCTGTCTATGCCATATGGCTGTGGGCTACACTAGTTCATTCAGCAGACAAGATTTGCTTAGAATTCCGTGGCATTATTTAATAGTATGAAGAATACAATTGAAGATAGCTGAATAAAATAGAAAGGATATTTTTTCCAAACAATGCGCACATGCAGCTATTCTGTGATGTGCGGATAACAAAGAAACAGATACTCCTATATGCTTAATTTACAGTTATTTATGTAAATTGAGTTGTGATACAAACGTTGGGCTATATTTTTTGATTTTTTAATACATTCTAAGGCTGCATGATGCGACTCTAATGATGATTTGAAAAAAGTCATATGAAAAGCATGCGCTCTGCTTTGTTTTTTTGCGCAGGCTGTTCACACTTCATCAGTCTCTCGTTCACAATTTGACAAGCACTTGATAATACCTCGAATTTCCCGGCTGCATCCCCTTTGTGTGGCCGTAATGCCCCCTAAAAAAATCCATGCCTTTTATGGCCAGTGGCCGTTGTGCCCTTGGGCTGAATATAATAATTATAATTCCCTTCTCCCGGCTGCATGCCGAAGCACCTCTCACTCACATGGCTCTCTGTCATGTGATTTGGTCTTTCTCACAGGCTACAAGTGAAGACAGACACATCGGGGACGGAACTGCACACGTCCTTATCCAATTCCGAGGCGCATATTGAAGATATTGGAAGAACTATCCACATTTACTTTTCGTCAGCCAACAAGATGAGTAGGCCTGCCGTACAGCAAAAGCACTAGCCTATGTCCATCTACTATCCCCCATAGTAGGAAAGTTGACCTATTCTATTTTGTGCGAGAAATAAATATTCCAATCATAGTCTAGGACAGTTGTGGGGTGCGATAGATCCCAAATTAATACAACCACTTGCATAAAAAAACCCTGTTTTAAGCAATGAGCCTGACGCAACATATGAGAACGTTTAGCTTAAAATGTTGATAAACTATTAGGCTATTTCTTCACGTTATAAGCGCAGCAATGCACACACGGCAGTAGGCTATAAGCGCGAATGTTCCATTAGCAGGAAAACACCATTCTCAAACGTGACCACAAATGCGATTATGCATGTATTGCTTTTATTATAAAGGTGCATTTTTATGGTGAAAATTATCTTCCCCAAACTTGAAACTCACGCGCTGCATATGTATACCAGTTGTAAAGCAGATTAATGTGCTTTATTTTAAGAAGTTATTGGCCACTTTAGTTGTGATACAAACCTTATAAAAAAATATAGGCCTATGGGCTAGGCTACATGAGGTGTGCGACTATGATTTGAAGAAGTCGCCAAAAAATTAATGCGCTGTTTGCCTTAAGCTGGGCATCATTCACAAGTGATAATATATAATCCACAAGTGATAGGCTAATATTGTCACCCATCACACTATTCTTGATTTAATCTTGTCTTTACATATACTAAATCATTTATGTGTGAAATTTGTTTTGATTTAAAATTGACCATTATCATGCACCTGCCCTTGAAACAGGGGCAGCGGAAAAAAATACGTCATCTATGCGTTTAAATAGCGAATGGAGGACGCTTTTCACGTGGTTCATTTTCATGCCAGCCAGGTAGGCTATACACCTGTTGTAAAGAGAAGCAGTGCTTAATATTAGGAAAGTTGAGAAATAAATATAGTAGGCCTAGCTGATAGGATCCTTCTCTTTTTAATAGAGGCCATCACTCTGTTTTCTCACGCAATTGCATAGCCTATAGAAATGTTGCGCAACATGAGCTCATGGGCACTCATGAAGTGCGAGAAATAATCCAATCCCCCCCCCCCCCAAATTGTAAAGTGGTTATCCCACTGGCTATAGGGTGAACGCACCAATTTGTGAGTCGCTCTGGCTAAGAGCGTCTGCTAAATGACGTTAATGTGCCCTTGAGCAAGGCACTTAACCCTAATTGCTCCTGTAAGTCGCTCTGGTTAAGAGCGTCTGCTAAATGACTAAAATGTAAATGTAAATGTAAGTGTTTGATTATATTTTGGATAACATTTGCATTGATGTCAGAGTGATTAGAGGGACAATAGAGTGCTGAGTACTAGGCAGTTAGCAAGTTTGCAGCATCAGAGCTTGGAAAAGCCTAATTACCTTGACTAAACGGTCACGTGGAATTTGACTGCCGTCATGACTCAAGACTGCCGGTGTGGCGGTAATATGGTCACCATAAAAGCCCAACGCCTGGCACCTATTACCATACCCCGTTCAAGGGCATTTAAAACTTTTGTCTTGCCCATTCACCCTCTGAATGGCACACACATACAATCCCTGTCTCAATTGTCTCAAGGCCTTCTTTAACCTATCTCCTCCCCTTAATCTACACTGATTGAAGTGGATATTGACATCAATATGGGATCATAGCCTTTACTTGGATTCACTTGGTCAGTCGATGTCATGGAAAGAGCAGGTGTTCATAATGTTTTGTACACTCAGTGTATTTGTCTTGAGAAAAGCTGCTAACCTTATGTTACTGTAAAAGGGGCCATGCTTACAACCTTAAATAACCTAGAATGGCCTGACTAAGGCATAGCGAAGACATGGCAAGGCATGAGAGAGAGGCTCAGTCCCAAATGGCACCCTATTCCCTATATAGTGCACTAGTTTTCACCAGAGCCCTATGGGGAATAGGGTGCCATTTGGGACACAAGGTGTCTCACTAATCCTCAGGATGACACATGTAAGCTGCCTCTTTTTAATAAGTTACATCAAGATGGAGTTGAGCGGAGCCGGAGATGATTCATGCTTGTTTCCGGTATCAGTGCCTCATCAGCAGCACATGTGTGGAGGACATTATTCTGTTTTAAACATGACCTACATGACACAGGGACTCTGAAAGCTTATTTACCCTATTTAGGACATCTCACAAACATCTCTTTCTGTCTACTGTTACTTTGGTCTCCCTTTGCCCCTGTTTGTGAGTGTGTGCATGTGTGAGAGAGTGTTTGTTGTCCAAAATATATGTTGTCTATATTATTCTTTGACTATGCATTAGTGCTTGGTATCTTACCTCTTACAGTAACTTTTGTCTTTGTGTTCTACAAGGAAAAAACCTTCCCTCTCATAATATATGGGTTAACCTGAGTACTGTATGCACCAGATAACTGCTCTAGAGGCAATTCCAATTTCTAGCACAGAATGGTTGAGGTCAATCTCTCTTCTCACACAGTGTTCCTCGAAATGTGCTCCCCTGTCCTCTCTGCTCCTCACAGACAGACAGACATATGCTACCCATGTTCTCCTCACTGTATTTTAGCACAGCTGCAAAGTAAAGCAGTGACTGCTATTGTTCCTGTATATAAAATAAAAAAATCTCTGTCCTTCCCCCAGACAACTGCAGTAAATGCTGGGCTATATGTGTCTTATTTGGGGTTCCTACTGAACCTTCGTACAGCTCTGACCTCATTATCTTACCCCAGTTCTTCTCCTCTCCTCTCCCTCCATTCTACAACAGTGCCACACTGAGTCAGCTGACATGGGTTGCCATCTCCTGCTGTAGCGAGGTGTAGATACGTACTTAGTGTGTGCCCTGTGTAGATACTTAGCTGTAGCCAGTGTGCCTTGCGTACAGTGCCTTGCAAAAGTATTCATCCCCCATTACATTTTTCCTATTTTGTTGCATTACAACCTGTGATTTAAATGGATTTTTATTTGGATTTCATGTAATGACATGCACAAAATAGTCCAAATTGGTGAAGTGAAATTAAAAAAATAACTTGTTTAAAAAAATTCTAAAAAATAAATAACGGAAAAGTGGTGCGTGCATATGTATTCACAACCCGTTGCTATGAAGCCCCTAAATAAGATCTGGTGCAAGCAATTACCTTCAGAAGTCACATGATTAGTTAAATAAAGTCCACCTGTGTACAATCTAAGTGTCACATGATCTGTCACATGATCTCAGTATATATACACCTGTTCTGAATGGCCCCAGAGTCTGCAACACCACTAAGCAAGGGGCACCACCAAGCAAGCGATACCATGAAGACCAAGGAGCTCTCCAAACAGGTCAGGAACAAAGTTGTGGAGAAGTACAGATCAGGGTTCGGTTATAAAAAAATATCAGAAACTTTGAACATCCCACGGAGCACCATTAAATCCATTATTAAAAAATTGAAAGAATATGGCACCACAACAAACCTGCCAAGAGAGGGCCGCCCACCAAAACTCACGGATCAGACAAGGAGGGCATTAATCAGAGGCAACAAAGAGACCAAAGATAACCCTGAAGGAGCTGTAAAGCTCCACAGTGGAGATTGGAGTATCTGTCCATAGGACCACTTTAAGCCGTACACTCCACAGAGCTGGACTTTATGGAAGAGTGGCCAGAAAAAAGCCATTGCTTAAAAAAATAAATAAGCAAACAAGTTTGGTGTTCGCCAAAAGCCATGTGGGAGACTCCCCAAACATATGGAAGAAGGTACTCTGGTCAGATGAGACTAAAATTGAGCTTTTTGGCCATCAAGGAAAACGCTATGTCTGGCGCAAACCCAACACCTCTCATCACCCTGAGAACACCATTCCCACAGTGAAGCATGGTGGTGGCAGCATCATGCTGTGGGGATGTTTTTCATCGGCAGGGACTGGGAAACTGGTCAGAATTGAAGGACTGATGGATGGCGCTAAATACAGGGAAACTCTTGAGGGAAACCTGTTTCAGTCTTCCAGAGATTTGAGACTGGGATGGAGGTTCACCTTCCAGCAGGACAATGACCCTAAGCATACTGCTAAAGCAACACTCGGGTGGTTTAAGGGGAAACATTTAAATGTCTTGGAATGGCCTAGTCAAAGCACCGACCTCAATCCAATTGAGAATTTGTGGTATGACTTAAAGATTGCTGTACACCAGCGGAACCCATCCAACTTGAAGGAGCTGGAGCAGTTTTGCCTTGAAGAATGGGCAAAAATCCCAGTGGCTAGATGTGCCTAGCTTATAGAGACATACCCCAAGAGACTTGCAGCTGTAATTGTTGCAAAAGGTGGCTCTACAAAGTATTGACTTTGAGGGGGGTGAATAGTTATGCACGCTCAATTTTTTTTTTTTTTTTTTGCTTGTTTCACAATAAAAATATTTTGCATCTTCAATGTTGTAGGCATGTTGTGTAAATCAAATGATACAAACCCCCACAAAATCCATTCTAATTCCAGGTTGTAAGGCAACAAAATAGGAAAAATGTCAAGGGGGGTGAATACTTTCGCAAGCCACTGTAGATACTTAGCTGTGGCGAGTGTGTCTGGAAGAGTTTGATGAGCTTACATAGGATTTGAGTTTTAGAGAGGGACCAAATATAGCAAATACAGTGGGGGAAAAAAGTATTTAGTCAGCCACCAATTGTGCAAGTTCTCCCACTTAAAAAGATGAGAGAGGCCTGTAATTTTCATCATAGGTACACGTCAACTATGACAGACAAATTGAGAATTTTTCTTTCCAGAAAATCACATTGTAGGATTTTTAATGAATTTATTTGCAAATTATGGTGCAAAATAAGTATTTGGTCACCTACAAACAAGCAAGATTTCTGGCTCTCACAGACCTGTAACTTCTTCTTTAAGAGGCTCCTCTGTCCTCCACTCGTTACCTGTATTAATGGCACCTGTTTGAACTTGTTATCAGTATAAAAGACACCTGTCAACAACCTCAAACAGTCACACTCCAAACTCCACTATGGCCAAGACCAAAGAGCTGTCAAAGGACACCAGAAACAAAATTGTAGACCTGCACCAGGCTGGGAAGACTGAATCTGCAATAGGTAAGCAGCTTGGTTTGAAGAAATCAACTGTGGGAGCAATTATTAGGAAATGGAAGACATACAAGACCACTGATAATCTCCCTCGATCTGGGGCTCCACGCAAGATCTCACCCCGTGGGGTCAAAATGATCACAAGAACGGTGAGCAAAGTAACAAAGCCTACCATCAGTAACACACTACGCCGCCAGGGACTCAAATCCTGCAGTGCCAGACGTGTCCCCCTGCTTAAGCCAGTACATGTCCAGGCCGTCTGAAGTTTGCTAGAGTGCCCATTGGATGATACAGAAGAGGATTGGGAGAATGTCATATGGTCAGATGAAACCAAAATATAACTTTTTGGTAAAAACTCAACTTGTCGTGTTTGGAGGACAAAGAATGCTGAGTTGCATCCAAAGAACACCATACCTACTGTGAAGCATGGGGGTGGAAACATCATGCTTTGGGGCTGTTTTTCTGCAAAGGGACCAGGACGACTGATCTGTGTAAAGGAAAGAATGAATGGGGCCATGTATCGTGAGATTTTGAGTGAAAACCTCCTTCCATCAGCAAGGGCATTGAAGATGAAACGTGGCTGGGTCTTTCAGCATGACAATGATCCCAAACACACCGCCCGGGCAACGAAGGAGTGGCTTCGTAAGAAGCATTTCAAGGTCCTGGAGTGGCCTAGCCAGTCTCCAGATCTCAACCCCATAGAAAATCTTTGGAGGGAGTTGAAAGTCCGTGTTGCCCAGCGACAGCCCCAAAACATCACTGCTCTAGAGGAGATCTGCATGGAGGAATGGGCCAAAATACCAGCAACAGTGTGTGAAAACCTTGTGAAGACTTACAGAAAACGTTTGACCTGTGTCATTGCCAACAAAGGGTATATAACAAAGTATTGAGAAACTTTTGTTATTGACCAAATACTTATTTTCCACCATAATTTGCAAATAAATTCATTAAAAATCCTACAATGTGATTTTCTGGATTTTTTTTCTCATTTTGTCTGTCATAGTTGACGTGTACCTATGATGAAAATTACAGGCCTCTCTCATCTTTTTAAGTGGGAGAACTTGCACAATTGGTGGCTGACTAAATACTTTTTTCCCCCACTGTACATACCCTTGCATGTGCAGTGCCTTCGAAAAATATTCATACCCCTTGACTTATTCCACATTTTGTTGTGTTATAGCCTCAAAATTGATAAAATTGATATTTTTTGGCCTGTGCTTAAGTCTATTCCGTTTATTTTGTATCCTAAAAAACTCCTTAGTCCTTGCCGATGACAAGCATACCCATAAAATGATGCAACCACCATGCTTGAGAATATGAAGAGTGGTACTCAGCGATGTGTTGTGTTGGATTTGACCAAAACATAACACTTTGTATTCAGGACATAAAGTTAATTTCTTTGCCACATATTTTGCAGTTTTACTTTATTGCCTTACTGCAAACAGTTTTCCCCTATCACAGCCATTAAACTCTGTAACTGTTTTAAAGTCACCATTGGTCTCATGGTGAAATCCCTGAGAGGTTTCCTTCCTCTCCAGCAACTGAGTTAGGAAGGACGCCTGTATCTTTGTAGTGACTGAGTGTATTGATACACCATCCAAAGGTTAATTAATAAATTCACCATGCTCAAAGGGATATTTAATTTCAGCATTTTTTTTTTTTACACATCTACCAATAGGTGCCCTTCTTTGCGAGGCATTGGAAAACCTCCATGGTCTTTCTGGTTGTGGTACAATACGTATGACAGAAATTCTCTGCTCAACTGAGGGACCTTACAGATAATTGTGTGTGTGGAGTAGAGAGATGAGGTAGTCATTCAGAAATCACGTTAAACACTATTATTGCACATAGATGGATTCCATGCAACTTATTAGGCACATTTTTACTCCTGAACTTATTTAGACTTTCCATAACAAAGGGGTTGACTACTTATTGACTACTACTCAAGTGTTTCAGGCTTTGGTTTTTCCATTTATATTTCGAGGTTGTCATTAGCACATGGGGCGCACCGATTGGTGTCACCTCGTTAGTCAGTATGTGTTACCCCTGTGCTGGTTTGTCATCTCGTTTGTGGGAAGGTGTTTGACCTGTGCTGGCCCAGGTGATATCTAAGATTGGATGGCCCAGTGCTCCAGTTGTCGTGCGAGATGTGGAGGGTTATCTCTTTTAGTTGGCGCTCCTTATTAAATTTCTAGAAAGACAATCCTTTATCGGATCTTCCCTGTTTTTGTTTTACTCCACCGTTTTTGGTTTGATTCCTGTCATTAAGTTTGGTGTGGGTTTTTCTTTTGTTTGCCTCTTAGTGGGCAAATTTAGTGGGCGCTTATGGTTGGTGTCTTTTAGGTTCCAGTTGTTGTTGCTAGTTAACTTTCAGTGGACACCCCCATGAGTGTCTTTCAGAACCCCTCCTAAAACCCCACCTGTTTCATTTTGATTGTTGTCAGTGACTGTTAGTTCCCCCTTCTGTTTGAGTGACACGTTTTTGCTTCTTGCTAGGGAACATAACACAAGATGTTTCAGCATTTCATTTTTTATTTATTAGCAAAGATTTCTGAAAACATAATTCCACTTTGACATTATGGGGTATTGTGTGTAGTGACACAATCTAAATGTAATACATTTTAAATTCACGCTGTAACACAACAAAATGTGGAAGGCATTGTACGTGTGTATACAGACACAAAAACACAAAAGTGGTGGAATTGCCCTTTAAGACTTTGGAGTTCTTGGAGGAGTGTGCTGGGTATGAATGTTGTAAGCATGGGTGTTTGAACATTTGTTTGCCTGTGCATGAGCAAATTGTGTGTGTGCGTGCGTGGGCCAGCCTCCAGTTCAGCCTTCCTGGTCTCTTTCCGGCTGTCTGCCAACACTGTTGGCATAATGCGGAAATCGCTTCCTCCCTCTTCTCTCTCTCTCTCTCTCTTGCTTTCTCTCCCTCTCTTTTTCTCATAATGCCTTTCTCCCACATCCCTCCAGGAGTAGACCAGGCCTCCATGGCCCAACACAGGAGTGAACTAAGTGAATAAACAGGCAGATCACACACAAATATTCTGTTATGAAAGCTTATGGCCTAATTACACTTTTTATTTATCCCTCTCTGTCAACCACACACAAACACTGACAAACACACAGGCAAGCACACACCTACACACACACACACACACACACACATTATTTATCTATCTCTCTGCATTGTTAGGAAGGACCTGTATGTAAGTATCTCACTGTTGTTTACGAAGCATGTGAGAAATAGAATTTGATTTGATTTGACATACACACGCACATACAAACAAATGCACATGCGGTTTGAAAGAGGGATGTGATAGTTTATATAGCCATGACACCATTCAGATTTCCACATCCATGTGTGATATCCAAGAGCAGCCCTCTATGTAGTCCAACCCTTGTTTATCACTAAATAAATACTCCCTGAGGATATTTAGTTCAAAGAAACCCAATGTGATATATAGCACAATGTTACCATAGTCTTCTATTCTGAACAAAAATATAAACGCAACATGCAACAATTTCTAAGATTTTACTGAGTAATGGTTCATATAAGGAAACCAGTCAATTTAAATAAGTTAATTAGGCCCTAATCTATGGATTTCACATGACTGGGAATACAGATATGCATCTGTTGGTCACAGATACCTTTTTAAAAAAAGATAGGGGCGTGGATCAGAAAACCAGTCTGTATCTAGTGTGACCGCCATTTGCCTCATGCAGCGTGGCACATCTCCATCGCTTAGAGTTGATCAGGCTGTTGATTGTGGCCTGTGGAATGTTGTCCCACTCCTCTTCAATGTTGTGCTAGTTGCTGAATATTGGCGGGAACTGGAACACGTTGTCGTACATGTCGATCCAGAGTTTCACAAACATGCTCAATGGGTGACATGTCTGGTGAGTATGCAGTCCATGGAAGAACTGGGACATTTTCAGCTTCCAGGAATTGTGTATAGATCCTTTCAACAAGGGGCCTGCATTATCATGCTGAAACATGAGGTGATGGCGGCGATTGAATGGCACAACAATGGGCCTCAGGATCTCGTCACAGTAACTCTGTGCATTCAAATTGCCATCGATAAAATGCAATTGTGTTCGTTGTCCGTAGCTTATGCCTGCCCATACCATAACCCCACCGCCACCATGGGGCACTCTGTTCACAGTGCTGACATCAGCAAACCGCTCGACCACACAACACCATACACATGATCTGCGGTTGTGAGGCCGTTTGGACGCACTGCCAAATTTTCTAAAATGACGTTGGAGGTGGCTTATGGTAGAGAAATTAACATTTAATTCTCTGGCAACAGCTCTGGTGGACATTCCTGCAGTCATCATGCCATTTGCACACTCCGTCAAAACAAGGTGCACCTGTGTAATGATCATGCTCTTTATTCAGCTTCTGGATATACCACACCTGTCAGGTGGATGGATTATCTTGGCAAAGGAGAAATGCTCACCAACAGGGATGTAAACAAATTTGTGCACAAAATTTGAGAGAAATAAGATTTTTGTGCGTATGGAACATTTTTGGGATCTTTTATTTCAGCTCATGCAACATGGAAACACTTTACATGTTGCGTTTATATTTTTGTTCAGTGTAGTTCCTCAGTCTAATCAGAAAGTGAAAGCCAGTCTTCATCCAGTAGGGGATGCATCCACAAACTAAGCCCTAGTAAATGCTGTTTGGAGATACTATAAGCTCTCCATTCATCCAGCTTAACCCAAAGCTGACCCTCTACCAGCCTCCTGAGAATGCTGTGTGTATACTGTGTATGTGAGAATGCTGTTAATTGACTACAGCTCAGCGTTCAACACGCACCATAGTCCCCTCCAAGCTCGTCACCAAGCTTGGGATCCTGGGACTGAACACCTCCCTCTGCAATGGATCCTGGACTTCTTGATGGGCTGCCCCCAGGTGGTGAGGGTAGGCAACAACACCGCTGCCACGCTGACCCTCAACACGGGGCCCCCCAGGGGTGTGTACTTAGTCCTGTCCTGTACTCCCTGTTCACCCACGACCGTATGGTCACGCACGGCTCAAACTCCATCATCACGTTTGATGACGACACAACGGTAGTAGGACTGATCACGGCGACGAGACATAGAAATGCTAACCAAATTTAGAGACCTGGCAGTGTGGTGCCAGGACTACAATCTCCACCTCGACGTCAGCAAGACCAAGGAACTGATCGTGGACTACAGGAAAAAGGGGGCGGGGGGGATGCACACCCCCATCCACATTGACGGGGCCACAGTGGAGAGGGTCAAGAGCTTTAAGTTTCTTGCCGTCCTCATCACTGATAACTTAACATGGACAGCGCCTCTTCACCCTCAGGAGGCTGAAGAGATTTGGCATGGCCCCTTAAACCCTTAAGAACTTCTACAGATGCACCATTGAGAGCATCTTGACTGGCTACATCACTGCCTGGTATGGCAACTGCAACGCCCTCGTCCGCAATGCCCTACAGATGGTGGTGCAGACGGCTCAGCACATCACTGGGGGCGAGATCCCAGCCATTCAGGACATACACACCAAGCAGTGTCTGAGGAAGGCCCGAAAAATTGCCAAAGACTCCAGCCACCCCTGCCATAGACTGTTCTCTCTGCTTCCGTCCGGCAGGCGGTACCAGAGTATCAGGTCTTGGACCAACAGGCTCCGAGACAGCTTCCAACCCCAAGCAATGAGACTTTTACATTTTACATTTACATTTTAGTCATTTAGCAGACGCTCTTATCCAGAGCGACTTACAGGAGCAATTAGGGTTAAGTGCCTTGCTTAAGGGCACATCGAAAGATTTTTCACCTAGTCGGCTCGGGGATTAGAACCAGCGACCTTTCGGTTACTGGCACAACGCTCTTACCCACTAGCTACCCTCACACACGCCTACACTGACACTCTTGCACACTCATATACTCACACTAACACCCACACACATACCACCATGCACACACCCACCCACCGCTTATCCTCCTGCCATATTGTTTACTATAATTATTATTTATCCTGCTACCAGTCACTTTCTCCTAATCCCTGTCTACATGTACATACAGGTAACTGCCCAATGAAAGGAAACAACGTAAAGTGTCTTAATAGGGCGTTGGGCCACCATGAGCCAGAACAGTGTGTCTGGAACTCTATCGGAGGGATGCGAAACCATTCTTTCACGAGAAATTCCATCATTTTGTGTTTTGTTGATGGTGGTGCAAAATGCTGTCTCAGGCGCCGCTTCAGAATCTCCCATAAGTGTTCAATTGAGTTGAGATCTGGTGACTTAAACTGCCCTGGCATATGGTTTAAATAATTTTCATGCTCATCAAAACATTCAGTGACCACCTTGTAATTGGGGGCATTGTCATCCTATGGGGGCATAGCCATGGTAGCCAGAATAATGGCCAAAATAATGTCCTGCCCAGCATTTTTATACATGAAACTAAGCATGATGGGATGTTTATTGCTTAATTTACTCAGGAACCACACCTGTGTGGAAGCACCTGCTTTCAATATACTTTTTATCCCTCATTTACCCAAGTATTTCCATTATTTTGGCAGTTACATGTATCTACCTCAACTATTCCAGTATCCCTGCATATTGTAAATGTGGTTCTTCCACTCTTATTTCCTATTTCTCATGTTTTTTTTAGTTATACTATCTTGATATTGAATACTGCACTGTTGGGAAGGGCTTGCAAGTTAAGCATTTCACTGTACTTGTGCATGTGTCAAATAAAACTTGAAACTTGAACGCAGACTACTGTAATAAGGCCTACACATGGACGTGCTGCTAGTAAGGCCTACTAGTAAGGTCTAATTTACACCTTCCACTTAAGTCCGCCCCTTTCCACACAGTTTTCCACATCCTCATCAGGGCAAGTCCCTTGAAGTGTTCTGTGGACGCAGAGATTTCGTGACCGGACGTACGAATTGGATCATTTCATTCGAGTGGACCTAGTGGACGGCGCGGAAGCGGAATGTGTAAATTAGGCTTAAGGCCTATACATGGCACTGCTACTGAATCTTACCTAGACATGGCGATCTCAGCCTTCTGCTTGGCGATGTCCGCAGCCTTTTTGGCCGCGTCCACAGACCGGTCCACCTTCTCTCTGATCTTACTGGCTCGGAGGGGGATCAGGTTCTTCCTTTTGCCGCTCACCAGGACGTTCTGCTTGTACTTGCCCTCCTCCTTGGTCCCGTCAGGGAAGGTGGTGCAGCCGTACCCGTGCCGCTTGTTTCCCACCCACTCCCCCTCATAGTGCAGGCCGTCCGAGCGCCGGCTCACCCCACAGCCCGTGCGCTTGTCGTTCTTCCAATCTCCGCAGTAGGTCTCTGTTGCTGTGGCGTCCACGTCATCCTCGGCGATGGCCAGCTCAGCTTCGCCCTCTCCCAGGCTGATAGTGGAGTTGATGTCAGAGTTGACCGAGCTGACTGTGCTCATGCCTGCCTCGCTGCGGAACGAGCTCTGCTTGGAGCGCTGGCTGGCCAGGGAGCTCTTGGACTCAGACTTCCTCAGTTTGAGTCCGCTGAGGATGGAGCGACCTCGGAACAGACCCTTTTTCTTGCCCTTCAGCAGCTCTGCCTCGCTGTGTGCCGTGAGCACGAAACCCCCCCGCGACACGGCCGGGCTGCCGGTGGAGCCCGTCCCGCCCCCACTCCCCACGCCGGCCCGGTCCGCGAGCAGAGCCGTCCCGTTACTGTGCTCCGAGCGCAAGGAGTTTATGGAGGTACGCAGCGGAGAGCGGATGATGGCTGCCATGCCGTATGGCACACTCTGCCGCATGCCGTATCCATGCCGCATCCCCCCCACCCACTGGCCTTGATACGTACCTGCAGAAAGACACAGAGACAAATGTCACAATGCATGTCAATATGATATAACAGCATATCAATAAATAATTCATTTTCATATATTTCAGGGACAACCACAACACTAGTGAGGGAGATATGGGCCTAAGGTGTCTGGGGGTCATGAACATACTGCACAGAGTCCCTGCGAGATGTTATGTTTTTTCACCCTCACAGCCAGACCTGTATCACATTGTTAGCTTTGAGACACCAGACCACCAGTAACAGCTCAGCTGTAGGGCTGAACTCCTGGGCAGAGAGCAATGCTATTATCCCCTCAGACTCATACCCACTCTTTAGGTTCTTGAAAAGGGAATGGTATCATTGCTAGCAGACAACAAAATACACTACATTTTAGCAGACACTCTTATCCAGAGCGACTTACAGTTAGTGAGTGCATACATCATTCTTTTTGTATATATATATCTTTTTTTTACTGGCCCCGTGGGATTCGAACCAGGATCTCTAGTGGCACAGCTAGCACTGCAATACAGTGCCTTAGACCACTGCGCCACTTGGGAGACACTACATCCACTCACTTAATGCTTTATAGAACAATACCAAAGCTCCCTCTACGTCTGCTCTCCCTTTCATTCCCTGTTTATAGAACAAACCAATCAATCCTTTTCTCCTCCAATCTTTTTAGCACCCACTTCAAATAAGCTCTTCCTTCACTTTCTCTGAACACAGCACATACAGTGAGCTCCAAAAGTATTGGGACAGTGACAATATGTGTTGTTGTTTTGGCTCTGTACTCCAGCACTTTGGATTTGTAATGATACAATGACTATGATGTTAAAGTGCTGACTGTCAGCTTTAATTTGAGGGTATTTTCATCCATATCAGGTGAACCGTTTAGAAATGACAGTACTTTCTGTACATAGTCCCACCCCCATTTTAGGGGACCAAAGGTATTGGGACAAATTCACTTATAGTTCACTTACATTAATGCAACACCATTCAATATTTTCCCCCACACTTTCTTGTATGTCATATTTGGGGTAAAATGTGATGACACGCTTTTAATGTACTCCATCCATTGAGAGGGAGAGAGAGGGGGAGAGCGAGAGAGAGAGCGAGAGAGAGAGAGAGAACTGGGGAGGGAGGAGTCATTTCATATTTCAACAAAGAGTCTACCATGTGTAAATCCCTCTGTGTCGGGACTTAGCTGATGGAACTACAGTCTACTACAGTAATACTCGCTGCTCGAACACACACTCTTCCCCTCCTGTATTGTCTGCATTTTACCTGAGACAATGAGTGCTTCAATTAGGGATTAAACCATTCAGTATTACCATATTAACAACAACCAAATGTGCTACTACTACCAGTACCAACACTACTATACTAAAGATAGAGTAATAATACTACATCCCAGACTGTATCCCAGTTATCAATATACACTGAGTGTACAAAACATTAAGAACACCTTCCTAATATTGAGTTCTCCTTTTGCCCTCAGAACAGCCTCAATTCGTCGGGGCATGGACTCTACAAGGTGTCGAAAGCATTCCAGAGGGATGCTGGCCCATGTTGACTCCAATGCTTCCCACAGTTGTGTCAAGTTGGCTGGATGTCCTTTGGGTGGTGGACCATTCTTGATACACATGGGAAACATGAAAAACCCAGCAGCGTTGCAGTTCTTGGCACAAACCAGTGTGCCTTGCACCTACTACCATACCCTGTTCAAAGGCACTTAAATATTTTGTCTTGCCCATTCACCCTCTGAATGGCACACATACACAATCCATGTCTCAATTGTTTCAAGGCTTTAAAATCCTTCTTTATGTCACGGTTTCGGCCGAGGCTGCTCCTCTTCCTTGTTCGGGCAGGCTTCGGCGGTCGTCGTCTCCGGAGTACTAGCTGTCACCGTTCTATGTTTCATGTTCGTTTGGTTTTGTCTGTTCTTAACACCTGTCCCTTATTTGGGTCTTAATTGTTTTCCCTATTTAGTTGCTTGTGTTTGGGTCAGGTGTTATGCGTTATTGTTTTGTGTCAGCCTGTGTCAGCCGTATCAGTCTCTCGTGGTTGTATTTTTCGAGAGTTTGCACTGCGTGCGCTTCTTTCTTGTTTTCCGCACAGTGTTTCAGTGCGTAATTGTGCGCCACCCGGTTGGGGAGGCTATTTTGTCCTATTCTTGGATTTACTAAAGTGTTTAACGTCATCCTGGTTCCTGCGTTTGATTCCACACACACACACCACTCTGACACTTTAACCTGTCTCCTCCCCTTCATCTACACTCATTGAAGTGGATTTAACAAGTGACATCAATAAGGGATCATAGCTTTGACCTGGATTCTCCTGGTCAGTGTATGTCATTGAAAGAGAAGGTATTCTTAATGTTTTATACACTCAGTGTATGTATGAGTGAAACTGTGGAGAGGTACCAAGTAAGTGAAGAGCACTCATAACATCTATCACCATGTCCATCCTGTTATCTATCACCATGTCCATCCTGTTATCTATCACCATGTCCATCCTGTTATCTATCACCATGTCCATCCTGTTATCAATAACCATGTCCATCCTGTTATCTATCACCATGTCCATCCTGTTATCTATCACCATGTCCATCCTGTTATCTATCACAATGTCCATCCTGTTATCTATCACCATGTCCATCCTGTTATCTATCACCATGTCCATCCTGTTATCAATAACCATGTCCATCCTGTTATCTATCACCATGTCCATCCTGTTATCTATCACCATGTCCATCCTGTTATCTATCACTATGTCCATCCTGTTATCAATAACCATGTCCATCCTGTTATCTATCACCATGTCCATCCCATTACCTGTCAGCACCGTTATTTATGGGTCATTTTGCCAACAAAATAATGGAAATGTTATTTTCCCTGAGATGTCCAGTATTGCAGCTGTTTATCATGTTGTCTGCCAACACCTCTGATAGATCACGTCTCAGAATAGTCCTATATAGAGGTAGCAAACTGACCCTGACTGGCTAGGGTTCCACTTGTCATCCCAAAACAATAATGCTTCACTCTGAGATTGACCCTCTCTTCCATAAATCAGTTCAGTGCTATACTATTATGTCAGAGTTTAGGTGACAGATTTTCAGCATGATGCGATACATTACATGATTTTTTGACATTTTTTTATCATTGCAGGCCTTTCTTTGGAGATAGGTTTCATAATGTGAACTACACTCTGAGTCTATTTTGTCTGTGAATAAGCACAATCCAGTACTTTTCCTCTGTACACTGGCTTAGTAGTTGGTATTTTAGATTTTTTTTAACTCTCATTTACTTTATTTCCCATTACAGTTTAGGTCCAACTGCGTGGTGCTGAAATCTAGGACAATTCACTGCATCGCTCTCTCTCTCCGTCTCTCTCTCTCTCTCTCTCTCTCTCTCTCTCTCTATCTCTCTCTCTCTCTCTCTCTCTCTCTGTCTCTCTTGCTCTCTCTCTGTCTCTCTCTCTGTTTCTCTCTGTCTCGCTCTCTGTCTCTCTCTGTCTCGCTCTCTGTCTCTCGCTCTGTCTCTCTGTCTCTTTCTCTCTTACACGCACACATACACACACATTTCCTGATTGACAGATCTATGGGATCCATCTATGTACAGTATCAGCCTATCTAATCTATTTTCTGGCCTGTCCATGCTGCCAATGACTGAGCAAACCCTCTGATGTAACAGCCCCTCTGCTCTGTGATTCATCGTGCCAAGCGTTCTATAATATGCTGCTTATGTGTGGAATCAGCACATATAGGCCCATATAAGGATCCCAACCAATCTCAGTATCTCTGTTTGTATCGCTCCTTTTCCAACCCCCCCTAACCCCACGCACGCACACACATGCAAAGACAAAACACACACACGCACGCACGCACACTCCCCTGTCCTCTCTGCCTTTATTGATCTCTGTGGGCTGGTATGTCAGTGAAATGCATAGGGTTGGATGGCTCAATGAGGCAACAGCAGAGAAAGTGTTGGATATCCCCACCCCCACAGCAACACACTGCTGCTGCTACTACTTCTACTGCTGCTAGAGGTGCTGCTGCTACTACTGCTACTGCTGCTAGAGGTGCTGCTGCTACTACTGCTCTACTGCTGCTAGAGGTGCTGCTTCTACTGCTGCTAGAGGTGCTGCTTCTACTGCTGCTAGAGGTGCTGCTTCTACTGCTGCTAGAGGTGCTGCTTCTACTGCTGCTAGAGGTGCTGCTTCTACTGCTGCTAGAGGTGCTGCTTCTACTGCTGCTAGAGGTGCTGCTGCTACTGCTGCTAGAGATGCTTCTGCTACTGCTGCTAGAGGTGCTGCTAAAGGTGATTATCCTACTGCTGCTAGATGTGCTTCTACTACTGCTGCTAGAGGTGCTTCTGCTACTGCGGGCTGGAATGTCAGTGAAATGCATAGGGTTGGATGGCTCAATGAGGCAACAGCAGAGGTGCTTCTGCTACTGCTGCCACCACAGTTAGGATGGAAACCTATTGAAACCTCCTACTCTTCAGAACAGGCCTGGCAGTCTGACTGAAGCTGGGTGGGCATCTGCTCTATCTTCTCTGGGCTGTGTGTGTTTTTTGTGTATTTTGTAAATGTATGTGTGTTTGTGTGTGTGTGTGTGTGTGGGGGGGGGGGGGGGGGGGGGTGGGGGGGAAGAGGAGAGAGAAAAGAGAAAGAGGAGAAGAGAGGAAGAAGAGAAGAGAGAAAAGAGAAAGAGGAGAAGAGAGAAAGAAGAGAAGAGAGAAAGAGGGAAAGAGCAAGCTAAAATGAGACCAAGTTCTAACATTAACTCTCATGTTGGAGGTGTCACAAACGTATTTGTTTTTTGTCCTATCTGTTATGACCCCCGCCCCCGTTCCCCTCTCCACACACACGTCTAGCCTTCTGCTGTGTCACAGACAGCTGGCTGACATCTGGCCACACTCGCCTGATCAGTCAACAGCTGTGTGACATATGATGGATCAAACACAGGCCTCAACTGATAAGATTAAACTGATGTTCCCACAGACAGAAAGACAGTGACAGTGAGACAGACAGAGTGAAATTAGCCAGAGCCTTCCAGCTCTCCTTTGGCACATCTCGTATTTCTATCCAGGATCACTTCCTGTTCTACAGCTCTCTGCTCCTCACCTTCACCCACTGTCTCTAATTCCAGCACAGACACTCCAGAGGTAGAGAAAGACATACAGAGAGAGAGAGTGAGAAAGAGAGAGGGGGGGATTGAGAATGTGTGAGTGTCTGTGTGTGAGTATGAGAGCTTCTCCCGTGTTTCTCTGAAAATGGAGTATTTCTACAGCTTTTGCTGTCACAGCTGAAAAAGTCCACATACACAGAGAAGTGACTTCTCCTCTCTTGAAAGTTTGATCAGGTCCATCATACAGCATATTATAATGTTGTTATAGTTTGCAGACACATTAACTAGAATCAGGCCGCAATGAAAGACTGGTGTGTCCCGGACCTGCAACAGCAGAACATTTCTCAATGAAGGATGTCAATCAAGCATAAAGACAGTAGGGAAGGGATGTCTCTCTCTCTCTCAGGAGAGAGCAGCGTGTGTAAACTCTGATTCTTTGGGGATCCATTGACGGCCATGGGAATATGATCTCCCCATTAGGACATGTATCTCATTAGTCATTAGTCATTAGTCAAGCATAGCTAGGCTAGGCTATAATGCCTGGTGCAACACACATGAACATGAATTATAGACATAAATTAAATCCAATGTCACAACTAGCAGAGAAAAATGCAGTATCTGTATAAACTTTTAACAAATGTGTGTTAATAGAATTAAAAGTATCAAGGGCCCCTGAAATGTCAGTGACATTTTCCTTCTGGCTCAAATTTGACATTGACATAAAAAGCATGTTATTACACATGCCATGAATCATTCCACATCAAGCAAAACATGTTATAGGCAGGCCTACTTGAATCGTGTCATCCTTAAGTAGCCGTTATAGACTCCATGGTGCTGAAACGTTCTCTCTGTGGGGTCGGGTGGATGGATGCACGTTCATCCATGGTTTGCCTGAACAGTTTCCCACGGGGTATTTGCCCTTACAGCTTGATCAGGAAGTCAGAAAGCCAATTTCAATTCAGACTGAAGCTACAGTAGTTTCATCAGTTAACTCGGGCGTAGTAGAAAATTCTGCATTGTGGAGGCATCTCTCGGTCGAGTTAATAATCAGTGAGCATATTATTTAATTTCCCCACAGCCATGAAAACAGCTAAGATTTTGAAAGAAACACAGCCGAAAATGTCAGGAGAACAAACCCTTAATTCTGTGAGCTAACTTGGAACAAATAAAGTAGTACAGTCATATTTAACATGGTAAATTCATAAGCACCAATAATAATGATATAGAAAAGGATATTCTTCAAATGGAGAACGTTTCTCAACCTGATTATTAATATGAATTAATGAATTAATATTAATTAATTAATATTAATATGCCATTTAGCAGACGCTTTTATCCAAAGCGACTTACAGTCATGTGTGCATACATTTTTACGTATGGGTGGTCCCGGGGATCGATACAAGCGCCATGCTCTAGCCGCAACGCATCGGTGGTTTCTTATTCTTGCCATGCATAAGCCTTAATAAATTAAAGGCTTTTAAATAAGAGTGCCTTGATTACTTCTAGAAGTTTGTTTGCACAAAGGCTGTTCCGGCATTGTTTACTATCCAGCAGCAACTTATTTTTGTTCTATAGTATTTCATCCAATGATCAAAGAGCACCTCATGGATTAATTATAAACCAAAGAAGCTCTCCTCTCTCTACGTTATGAGCGGTATTTCTCAAAATGAGTGATAATTGGTAACGGTTCTATTGGAATGCAATTTCAGAATGTGGGGGGGATATGTCCCCCCTGTCCCCAGTGAAAGTTGCGCCCCTGATTTCAACTACAAAATAAATTGGCCCTTAGTAGTCTTCATTGATATGGATACATGTGACATTGCACAGCAGTTACCTGGTTTATTTCTCCTATAATTTTTTCTTCTTGATTTCAATATGGAAGGGAAACCAGGTACTGGTGTTTGTTTGTACTGTTTCTTGAGTAAAATGTATACCATATTTTTATGGGTAGGTTAGAGGGCATGGGGGGAGGCATATGATGTTCCCCCCATGATGAAAGGGGGCCATGACAGAAAAAGTTTGGGAAGCACTGATCTAGCTAAAGGTTAGCACAGCCTATTTATTTATAGCCACTATGTTGCATCAGTTGGGCTACAGGTGATCATGCTTATTGTTAAATAACACACCAGCCTGATAATATAGACCAATATGTTGTTAGGCTCATTTTTGGAGGGGAAAATTATATTTTTATGGCCTCAACATCATTTTATTTTCCTTAATTTTAGAGTAGAAAAGTCACCAGAGCTGTGTCCAGTACAAATTGTTTTAATGCAACGTTCAATTAAACGGAAACAGTGCTGTTCTGAACAACCAGTTGAAAAACCGGGGAGGGGTTGTGGTGTGGGTTCCAAATGCACCGCTGCCCTTCAAATACATCACTCATGGCTTCAAGTCACACCCTGCCACACCCACCAAACGGAGCAAACCGTAGGCTACCTCAAAGTCTGCCCCTGGACCCCCAGGGTGTTGACCCTGGAACCTATTGACCTGGACCTCCCCAATATGCAACACAAAGCCCTTGACCGCATAGTGAGTTCAATTCCTAACAGAGAAAATTGAGACTGGAGTAAGGATGGTAGAAAGTGTGTTTGGATTGACTCTTTCATGAATTATTAATATTTTTATATTTCACCAAGTCAGCACTTGCACTTCAGAGTTGTGTGTGTTTGTGTGTGAGTGTGTGTGAGAGAGACAGAGACAGACAGGGAGAGTAATATGCATGGAAAAGAACAAGAGACATGCTACAACAGTGTTGTAAGATAGGTCTGTACTGTAAGCAGGTGCTGCTTTCCTAATGTGTGTGTGTGTCTTCTTGTGAAATAGGCACATCATGTGGCTATGTGAATGTTTGATGCCACTCTGCCTGCAAGCCAACCATAGAAGAGCTCGCTAGAACAGACACAGACAGACTGCAATCCAGGAGAGACTACTGCTAGCGAAGCTGTTGCAGAAACGGCAACATTCAAAGTGAGCTGCAGTTAAAAGCTAAATCTCTCAGTAAGCTTAAATCGACTACGGATGTTATCCGGTTAAGGGATTTGGTTTTAGATTTTTGGCGATGATGTGCCCCAGTCTTAGATTTTCCATTTAAGGATTATTTAACTCATAGAAACATCATGAAAATTGAATTATCATTTGAACGTTAATTCCCCCAAAATTGCCCTGGACATCACAACATTTGTTCACATCGTGCTCATAATTTGGAGTAACTGCGCTTGCTATCTCTTCAGTCTCATTAACATAATCTTTTTTCAACAGCAAAAAGATAACCTCAATAACTGATATAACACACCTTGCACAAGGATACAATTACCTAAATTGCCTGGGCATCTACAAAAGTAGGCCCCTCCACATCTCTACATGGTACAAACCATTTCTAAACAACCATGTTGGTACAGTATGTAGGTCAGGGGTCAAATCATACAGGCACTGTAATATTGACTCATATCCAGAAACAACTGTCAGGACAGTTTCCTGTAGCTCCCAGTACAGTGAGTTTGCTTTACTCCCAATCACAGATGTGATAATCAGCAATCAAGGTGGAGCGTCAACAACCATCAGAAACACTACGTGACAATTATTAACTTCTCTTTTACACACACTGTTCAAGTGTTCTCCTTAGTACGTGACAATTATTAACTTATCTTTTACACACACTGTTCAAGTGTTCTCCTTAGACAGCTCCTTGGATGGGTTCCTCATTCCATGGCCATTGACAGTATAGTATTTCTAACTCTATCTGAGAGGAAAGCTAATGGAAAGACAATGCTACTGTAACCTCTGTATCTTTGTCTCCCCCCTCTGTCACTGTCTACTGTGATTGTGTAGCAGCCAGATAAGCGCTCACTGCTCAAGTAAGTAAACAACATTAGCAGAGTCAGCCAGCCAATCAGAGTGAGCAACACTGAGTCCCCTGTGACACGCAGCCCTGCTGCATGTCTGTGTGCGTTTCCACAGCAACTTGCTGTACAGAGACAGAGGCACCACTGCTGTAATGCAGTGGAACGAGGTAGACAGAAAGATAGAGAAAAACAATTGCTCAGAGCATAGATCTTTCTCCTCCACTGAGTTGTGGTTTGATAAGCAGGTTGTGCAGAGTGTGAGCAAAGGTCGGAGGTAGAATGCAATACTATTTCTTATTCTCAATGTTAGATGGTGTAATCAACTGATAACAATTGTTGTTGGGCATAAAATGCGGAAGCCTTCAGACAGGAAGAGTATACTGGAGTATTTTAAAGACACTGACTGATTTACGGACACATTGAAGTGTTACATAATGAATACTGTAGATTTGAAGTTTCTCTGGAGTGTCTCTCATATGAAAATAGTACACTATTCTTTACTATACCTCATTCTTTTCCATCTTCATTTACCAATCTTCTCCAAATCCCTTTCTTTATCTTATGCCTCATATTCATTTCATTATAACAAAGCCTTGCAGGCCTGGTGCTCATTTCAGAGTGGATACTGTAACTGTTATCATTATGGATATCATCTGTGTCATATCTGTTCTGCATACTCTGTCCTCATTAACCTCCTTTCCTGACTCAGCCAGTGTTCATTGGGCTGGTGGTTGGGTGCATAGTTGTGTAAGGTTCTGGTGCTAGAGAGTTATATAAGTTTAACAATGCACTCTTAGAAAAAAGGGTTCCAAAAGGGTACCTCGGCCTTCTCCATAGAATAACACTTTTTGGTTCCAGGTAGAACCCTTTTTGGTTCCAGGTAGAACACTTTTTTAGAACCCTCTGTGGAAATGGTTCTATTTTTTTCAACAAGGATACCCATTGAGACCCAGGTCTGTTTCTTAAGGGAGCCCTGCATTTTACAATTTCACACATTGTACAATTTATAAATATAAAATAAAAGAGAATTCAAAAGCAAATTAGAGAAGAAAAAAAACCTTCCATGTAAAACACAGGAGGTTGGTTGCACCTTAATTGGGGAGGACGGGCTCGTGGTAATGGCTGGAGCAGAATTAGTGGAATGGTATCAAACACTTTCTATGTGTTTGATGCCATTCCATTCACTCCGTTCCAGCCATCATTATGAGCCGTCCTCCCCTCAGCAGCCTCCACTGATGTAGAACCTTTTTGGCTTCTACATGGAACCCAAAAGGGTTCTTCAAAGGGTTCTATGGGCTGTCCCCATAGGAGAACCCTTTTAGGTTATAGATAACACCTTTTGTTCTAAGAGTATGATGTTGCACCAGGAGGTTTCACCAGAAGAAATCAAAATATTCTACAGACCGTCATGCACTTTGACTGTGTGATTGTTAAGCACCTTTGCCTTGATAAATGAAGTGTTTTGATAAATATATCTGAATGGATCTGAAATCCACATTAGTAGAGAGAGAGAAAGAGTGTGTGTGTGTGTGTGTGAATTTGGGGTAGAGTAAGGACTTCCAGACTCTCATCACTGTCATCTTCAAGGTGCGTATTTATGGCCTTAGAACTGGGTCTCTCCCAGCCAGGTTTACCATGAGTCTGTCTGGTTATGGGAACTGCACCCTAACTTTGCAGTTGACCTGGAATCTCTCTCTCTCAGGCTGCATGGGGAGTCCGGATGGCCTTAACTTGGGCCTCCAAATGTATCTCCCACTGCAGCACGAGCAGGGGAGAGGGAACTGCTTACCCAATTGACAGATGGACGGAGAAAGATAGATTAGAGAGTGTCTGAGAGATAGGAGACTAATGAAGCAGGAGACAGTTAGATTGTGTGTGTGGTGGTGGGGGGGGGGGTGAACCATAGTAATGGAGTGGGATGACCTCATGGAACACCTAGCACCTAGGTTTCCCTGATTACTGTCAACTCACTATGAAGAATGGGCCTGCTGGTCTGTATCTCAATATCCATTTGTTGATGCTTTACACAGAGGGTACTCATCCATTAAACATGGCTCAGTGTGGGTCTGGGTCTTACCTCCATCAGAGTAGGTCTCAGTGCCGTATCCGTCCTGAAGACCGTTGTTCCAGGTCCCCTCGTACTTCCCGCTGGTGCCGGTGCTCTCCCTGAGGCCGTAGCGTCCTTTAAATCCACTTGTCCACTCCCCCTTATACACCCACTTGCCCTTGTTCTCCACTCCAATCCCATGGCGCTTGCCCTGCGCCCAGGTGCCCTGGTAGGTGTTCCCACTGGGCCATGTGTACACCCCCACCACCTCAAAGCCATGGCTCCAGGACCCTGAGTACTCGCCTTGGCCCTTCGGCCCAGTACAGATGCCATGGCCGTGGGCTTTGCCTTCCTCCCACCCCCCACAGTATGACCCCCCATCATCAAAGTTGAACCTGCCCCCAGTGGACATGCATGAAATAGGTTTTGGCAAATCCCCCAAATCTCAAAAAAAGAAAACAAATTAAAAACTGAGTTGGGGGCGGGGTTAGTGATAATGATGAGGTGTGGGGGGGAGGAAGACACCCAAACAAATCCCCCGGGTTGACTTAAAGAGAAAAATAAAAAGAGGAAAAAGCAAAATAGCCCCCCAGTGTGTAGGGTCCCTCCTGTGAGGCCAGGGAGGAGCAGTGGGAACCTCTTCAAACCATTATCCTGGAGCTTTGGTTCACTGTCACTCCAGGTCCAATCTCCTACAGCTGCAGCTCACAGACGGGAGAAGGCCCACAACAGCCATGTGTTTTACCTGCCAACACAAACGCAGCAAACTCCTTTTCTTTGGGGTTTGGGTTCTGGCCCCCTCCCTCCACGCAGGGCCCCACCGCTGGCACGCTCCCAGCTGCTTGTGCCTCCTCCTCTCCGGGGCTTTTTGCTTTAGCTCTCCCTAGCAGCCGAGGACCACCAGGCTCCACCTAGAAACCTGGGATCCCAAACAGCTAACAGTCAGCCACTGGCCAGATCCAACACCATTTACAGCTTTACGGATCCATCTCTTTTGGCTGGCTCAGCTTGTCGTTTGTCCCCCAACCCACCTAACATGCTCCTGCCACACAGTGCAACACAGAAACAGAGAGAGAAAGAAAAAAGAGGAATTAAGCTTGGTTCTCTCCTGACGCCTCTGCTAGTGAACAGCAATGCAGTCTCTTCCCATATGCGCACACAGACCATGAAAATAAACAAGTGATCAGATTATTTTCCTCCTCTCTTTTCCCTTTCCCTCTCTCTTTTTTTAATCCACGTCCTTAAGTGGTTTAGCGATACTGATGCTTTTACTCTTGTTCCCTTGCCGGTGAGAAATCCAGATGTATCTCTCCTTTTCCTCTGCTTCAACACATCATGCTCTTTTATGTATCACTGCGTGCATTTTCTGTTGTCATCTCATTTCTCCCTTTTCACCTTATGGTTGGGTCTCGGTCTCTCTCTCTCTCTCTCTCTCTCTCTCTCTCTCTCTTTCTCTCTCTCTCTCTCTCTCTCTCTCTCTCTCTCCGGTGTCTCTCAAATCTCCTCATTAGAGGAGGACTGTTCCAACCAGCCAACACCCCCTCCCCCTCACATGCGTGCTCCTGTTTTTAAAGAGACAGAGGCAGCATAAAATCCAAGCCTTTCTCCTCTCTCTTTTGCTGCCCTGAAGAGCAGAGATTGCATGCTCCTGTTTTTAAAGAGACATAGGCAGGATAAAATCCAAGCCTCTCTTCTCTCTCTTTTGCTGCCCTGAAGAGCAGAGATGGCTTTTTTATTTGCATGCTATGCTTTCTTAAGCCTTTAGCCATTTTAACCTCTCTATCTCTGGTCTGTGCATAAAAACATGATAAATCAACATGATTAAGCAAATTATATGGTAATAGATAGAGATGGTTAAATCTGTTTATATGATAGCTTATAAGATAGCATTTGTATTTGTGGTAAGATAGTATTCACCACAATTCTGTTTCATCATGAGATTCGTGGACTACAGGAAATGGACAGCCGAGCACGCCCCCATCCACATCGAAGGGGCTGTAGTGGAGAGGGTCCAGATCTTCAAGTTCCTCTGTGTCCACATCACTAAGAAATTAACATGGTCCACAACAGTGGCGGGACTATCATTCATATTCCATTCACCCAGCTCAACATAACATCGATAGGTTTAGGCTACTACATGATACACTAATTTTCCCTATACCCATCATGAGGTTGCTACAACCTAGCCTATGAATTAAAGTTAGAGCACATGTCGAGAGACATTTGAATAATCATTGTGACAGACATTGACACATTCAATACCGCCTTGCACACTCTTACCTGCATTTAGCTGATCTAGGGTGTAATCATTAGTTCTACAGTTGCAAACGAGAGTTTCTATTGGACAAATTCAGGTATGTTTATCACCATTTCGTTCCGTTTACTTCCGTTTAAGAAACATTTTTCTACAGAATCGGTTGAATGAATACACCCCTGATCACATGCAAACACAGTTCACTTTCATAGCAGCCACATAACAGCATGATCCCTTTGATATTTGTATTCCTTCTCGCATCTACGCGCTCTCCTCCTCTCACCTTTTCCCTTCACTGGTGGACTTCAGTGCACTACACATCAGCTTTCTATGATCAGGCGAAAAAACCTTTCCAAGCCAAACCTTCATATCATAACCGCTAACTGCTACACACAGCCTACATTGTTGTCACCATAGTCAACATAGCTACTAGAACTAACGCATTAGTAAACCCCCTACAATCAAGCTGTACAGACAGCAGCAAGCAGTTTAGAAGTTACACCGACGGGCCCCGGTGGAAATAAATTAAGAAAACCAAAAGCTTACCTTGACTTGGAAGAGTTCCAGTGTTGGATAGCCATAGCCAGCTAGCTAACATAGCATCCCTCTGTGTTTGAGCCGGGTGTTTGAGTAGGCTAAACTAGCTAGCTGCATTTGCTAGCTAAGTAAGTGAAAGTGCAAAACAATTATATATACAGTATATAGCTATCTCTCTCTCTTGCTTTAATTTGTTAAAACTGTTCAACTATTGTCTTCTCTCTCTTTGAGTCAACTACTCACTACATTTTATGCACTGCAGTGCTAGCTAGCTGTAGCTTGTGCTTTCAGTACTAAATTCATTCTCTGATCCTTTGATTGGGTGGACAACATGTCAGTTCATGCTGCAAGAGATCTGATAGGTTGGAGGACGTCCTCCAGAAGTTGTCTTAATTACTATGTAAGTCAATGGAAGGGGATGAGAACCACGAGCCTCCTAGGTTTTGTGTTGAAGTCAATATACCCAGAGCAGGACGGAAACTAGCTGTCCTCCGGCTATACCATGGTGCTACCCTACAGAGTGCTGTTGAGGCTACTGTAGACTTTCATTGCAAAACAGTGTGTTTTTATCAATTATTTGGTGATGTGAATATATTTAGTATAGTTTTATCTAAAAAGGATAACTTTTTAATGTTTCACTATTTAAAAAAAATGAAATTCACTGAGGAGGATGGTCCTCCCCTTCCTCCTCTGAGGAGCCTCCACTGGTCGACACACACCAACACAGTCGTGAAGAAGGCACGACAACAGCAGCTCTTCCCCCATGAGGCTGAAAAGTTTTGACATGGGCTCATAGATCCTCAAAAAGTTATACAGCTGCACCATTGAAAGCATCTTGACTGGTTGCATAGCCGTTTGGTATGGCAACTGCTTGGCATCCGACATCAAGGCGCTACAGACGGTATGCGTACGGCCCAGTACATCACTGGGGCCGTGTTGCCTGCCATCCAGGACCTCTATACCAGACGGTGTCAGAGGAAGGCCCTAAAAATTGTCAAAGACTCCAGCCACCCAAGTCGTTGACTGCTCTCTCTGCTACCGCACGGCAAGCGGTACCGATGCACCAAGTCTGGAGCCAACAGGACCCTGAACAGCTTCTATCCTCAAACCATAATACTGCTAAATAGTTAACCTTTTACTGCAGTGGGCTAAATCAGGGTCACACAGAATGTTTCTTGGTAGTCTTAAACAAATCTACTTTGAAACAAAAGTATACACCTCACACACATGGTTATGGGCTTACAAGAAATGTATACATGTTTGAGTTTGCACCGCAATATTACACTTTATATACACTGCATGACCAAAACTATGTGGACACCTGCTCGTCAAACATCTCATTCCAAAATCATGGACATTAATATGGAGTTGGTCCCCCTTTTGCTGCTATAACAGCCTCCACTCTTCTGGGAAGGCTTTCCACTAGATGTTGGTACATGGCTGCAGGGACTTGCTTCCATTCAGCCACAAGAGCATTAGTGAGGTCGGACACTGATGTTGGGCGATTAGGCCTGGCTCGCAGTTGGCGTTCTAATTCATTCCCAAAATAGAAGTCACTGAGCTCTTCAGTACGGGCCATTCTACTGCCAATGTTTGTCTATGGAGATTGCATGGCGGTGTACTCAATTTTATACACCTGTCAGCAATATGTGTGGCTGAAATAGCCAAATCCACTAATTTGAAGGGGTGTCCACATACTTTTGTATATATAGTGTACATCACAAAATACTGAAATATAACAAAACCGTTTGACATAGAAACACCGGATTTTGGGCTGTTTTTTTCAATAATGTTTATTAAACACATGAAACATATTAATAACATTCCACCCATTAGGCCACATGAGGGTGATTTGGTCATTTGACTGCCGGAAAGGGCTACCCAAATAGCTACCCGGACTATATGCATTGACCCTTACTCCTTTGACTCATCACATACAGTACCAGTCAAAAGTTTGGACACCTACTAATTCAAGGGTTTTTCCGTTATTTTTAAATTTTTCTACATTGTAGAATAATAGTGAAGACATCAAAACTATGAAATAACACATATGGAATCATGTAGTAACCAAAAAAGTGTTAAACAAATCAAAATATATTTTATAGTTCCCACATATGCTTAGCACTTGTTGGCTGCTTTTCCTTCACTCTGCCATCCGACTCATCCCAAACCATCTCAATTGGGTTGGGCGCCATCAGGTATCTTCTTCTTATTTGTGTCCTTTAGTAGTGGTTTCTTTGCAGCAATTCGACCATGAAGGCCTGATTCACACAGTCCCCTCTGAACAGTTGATGTTGAGATGTGTCTGTGACTTGAACTCTGTGAAGCATTTATTTGGGCTGCAATTTCTGAGGCTGGTAACTCTAATGAACGTATCCTCTGCAGCAGATGTAACTCTGGGTCTTCCATTCCTGTGGCAGTCCTCATGAGTGCCAGTTTCATCATAGCGCTTGATGGTTTTTGTGACTGCACTTGATTTTTTCCGTATTGACCAACCTTCATGTCTTAAAGTAATGATGGACTGTCGTTTCTCTTTGCTTATTTGAGCTGTTCTTGCCATAATATGGACTTGGTCTTTTACCAAATAGGGCCATGTTCACAACACAACTGATTGGCTCAAA